GCGAGAGTGTGCCCCTGATAGAAAGGCAGGGTTGATGTAGAATATAGAAAGCAAGAAAGCCGAACGTAACCATAAGGTCTCCGGGAAAGAATAGTTCAAAGTAGCTGCTGTTGTACAGAACGCCGACCAAAACGGGAATCTAATACATCCATGAAATACATATAAGATCAAGGGTAAGTGGTGGGGAGTACACTGAATCCTCCCTCTTTTTCTAGGTTTCTTTCATTTATTCGGTTCCGATCGGAGCAGGATCTTGGTCATACGACGCGAGTCGCCGCTGCCTTGGAGCGCGAGGCAGCCACAGCAGAAGCAGTACCTTCCTCTTCCTCGTCAACATACACATACTCATCCTCTAGCTCATCCGGCTGCCCGAAAATTTGACGCCATACACCATCCCAGAGCCCCTTCTTGGTGACGAGACCACCCACCAGCAGAACCGGAAGCTGCCAGATACTAGCCCAGAAGAGACCTCTCGCCGTTCCGTTGGCGCCCTGGTGCTTCCAGAAATGGTACGCCTCCTTCACCAACCAAGCATTCGCGACCGAGCTGCTAACCAAGAATCCGTGACCGACGACTCCGACCCACCAGAGTCCAATGGAGATGGGGAACATGAGGATGGAATAGCGCAGCGCGACGCGGGCGTTCATAGCAGGGTTCTTCCAGCAGAGCATCTTGTAGCCGGCGCGCTTGTACTCTTCGCGGATGGTATGAGACAAGGCGTTGAAGTGGGGGAATTGCCATGCAAACAGAATACCGCCAAGCAGCCAACCACCGATGCTGTCTTGGCTGAAGAGCATGTCCCGCCAGGTATCGTGGCCCGTGGTAGCGGTTTGGCCGGCAGCAGCGACCCAGCCCATCAATGGGGGAATACCGCCTACAATGGCGCCGACCCAGGTGTTGATGACATGGAGGCGCTTGAGCGGGGTGTAGATGAAGCCGTATAGGATGATGTTGCTTGCTGAGAGGGCCGCGACAGTGGGGTTAGTACCGAAGTAGAGCATGCCGACACCGGTGAGGGCAGTCGCGAGAGCGAAGAGTACGGCGGCACGGCGGGAAATAAGGCCACGGACGAGAGGCCTGTTGCGGGTGCGCGACATGAGAGCATCGTATTTCGGCTCCAGAAACATATTGATGGTGTTGGCGCTGCAGCTGGAGAGGAAGGTGCCCGCCGTCAGGTAGAGGAAGGTTAGGGTTGAGGTGGAGAGGGTCGGTAACGGAGTCATGGACGGATCGAGCGTAAGGAGGGACGAGATCGGATACAGGCCATAGGCGGAGGTGGTGCTCAGCACGATGAGGACGGAGAGGCGAGGCTTGCAGAGGGCGAGGAAAGCAGCCATCTTACGGCGGAGGGAAGAGGTGGGCTGGGCGGAAGAGAAGGCGGATAGCTGTGCGGAGGCATCGGGGGGAATGACATGTTCAGAATCGGCGGTTTGGGCGTTCGCTTCTTCCTTTAAACGCTTCCTCCGGCGATGAGGGAGCTCTGGTTGTGTGGATTCGGAGGCAGACGTAGAGGCATCGACGCGGTGGTCTGATGGGAGAGGAGATGTCGCGCTAGAGGAGACATTGCCGCCGGAGAGCGAGGAGGCAATGCCATTCTTGCTCGGAGTGCCATCTTCGGCGCGATTGGCCGAGAAATAAGTCTTATTTAGAGCCGACTGAGCGGAATGGCCGTCTGCAATGCCCGAGTGGGATCGAAAGGACGAGGTGAAGGTGCGGAGAGCGGCGGGGAAGGTTCGAGGGGTCCGATTTCGATGTAGAAGACATTGGGAGCATATCCTGCTAGGATCGCCTGGCGACCCTATCCTCCGCAGCGAGGAGCGAAGGAGACTCATGGCGGAGTCCTGCTGTGGTTCTGGTCAACCAAGATTCCGAATCTACGCTGCGGAAGTTGAAGCTCAAGCCGCAAGACGAAGAAAAGCCGCGGTGGACGGGAGCGACCAAACCCGCAATTCCGGAGATGCGTTGGTTCTTTGTTGGTCTTTTTTGTTGTCCTTGCGTCGTCCGCCTTTCTTCTACTCAACCACCTCCCCGCTGGCCTCGTCGGACCTCCTGCTTCAATCCCACGGTCCCTATCCTCAGTCAACATGGACGCGATCCAGAAAACCATCGTCGATCCCCTCCAACCCCTCCTCCGCCCCGTCGTTTCGGCCTTGCCCGAACCGGTTCACGATGCGATCATTTCGCTGATCGGCTCCTCCTGCCACAACAGCCTCGTGGTCGATCTTGACGTGAGCAAGGACCCGGCGTGCACCTCCCTTGCTATTTCGAAGGCACTTGGTATTGCTATCGTCGGAGCTAGCGGCATTGTCAAGGTGCCCCAGATCCTCAAGCTGATCGGCTCCCGCTCATCTGCCGGTGTTTCCTTCGTTTCGTACGCCCTCGAGACCGCCAGTCTTCTGATTACGCTGTCATATAGCGTGCGCAACCAGTTCCCGTTCAGCACCTTCGGCGAGACGGCTTTGATTGCGGTACAAGATGTAGTCGTGGGCGTGCTGGTATTGACATTTGCGGGCCGGTCTTCCGCTGCGGCGGCCTTCATTGCCGTCGTGGCAGCAAGCGTGTATGTGCTGCTTTTTGATCAGACTCTGGTGGATGCGCAGACAATGGCTATGCTGCAGGCTGGAGCTGGAGCTCTGGGTGTTGCGAGCAAGGCGCCTCAAATCTATACTATCTGGCGTGAAGGTGGCACTGGCCAGCTGAGTGCTTTTGCAGTAGGTGCACCTCGTTACTTGTCGGTAATTGTTTACTAACACATAGTCAGGTCTTCAACTATCTCGCTGGTTCCCTGTCTCGCATCTTCACCACCCTCCAAGAGGTTGACGACAAGCTGATCCTGTACGGCTTCATTGCCGGGTTCACTCTCAACCTCATTCTGGCCGGCCAAATGCTGTACTACTGGAACAGCCCGGCCAAGTCCCAGAAGAAGGAGAAGCCCGTGGCAGCACCTACTCCCGCCAAGACGCCAGTTGCTGCCACCAGCTCGGGGGTGTCCCCAAAGCCATCAGGCAAGACGCCCACCACTCGACGCCGGGGCTAGTTGCCTTTTTGGGTTACTTCGCATCAATCCTGTTATAGAAATCTTTAATCCTCTTTTTCCTACTACAAGCATTGCAACATAGTAGACATCACCGCTGTCCCGGCACAGCCCCCGTAGTCATGAACCTCAGAATCTCATCCAATGGCACCACAGGCGCAACCACCTTAGCCCCCGCACCAGCATTAGCCCCAGACCCAGTATTCGCAGCAGCAATATCGAACTCCAGCCCAGCTCCAGCCCCGGACCTTCTCCTTGCCCCGACAACCTCCATCTCATCCGCCTCGCCCTCTCCCTCTTCACTATCACTCTCATCCTCCTCATCATCATCCTCCAACACCCTGCTCAACCCCGTAACTACATTCTCAATCCCCATCTCCCGCTCCTCCAACGTATAGTTGCCGCCCCAATTCCTCTTCCTGGCCTCCTCGTTCGCCGCGACAGGCGCCCAATCCCACAATTCAGCAATCGCATCATCACTCAACAATCTTTGTCCACTGCTGGTCTGGTATTGTCCCAGTCCTCCGGCTCCAGCATCAGAAGAAGTAGTTGGCGCCCCGGCGCGACGACCGCGCGCTACCCAATCCTCAACGCGGGGGTCTAGTTTCGTGCGCAGGACTTGCTCGAGGGCGACGTTGTTGGCGGGGACGCGCGACGGATAGGATGCGTCGGGGTAGGCGACGATGTTGGATAGGAGGTCGCGGTTATCGGAGAGGTGGTCGGAGATGGTGAGGAGGTTGTTGGAGATGATGGTTGCTTGGGATTGGAGGGATGTCCTGTCCGTATCATCATATCAGTGAAACTTGACCCGGGTGGGCTGTATGGAGTCGGCATTGGGGGGTAGGTATACCATGAGGGGAGAGGATCGCTTTGATTGAGACTGGTTATGAGAGAGGCGAGGGAATGGGTGAGTTGGATGAGGCGTTGGCGGGATTGTTCGAGGGTTTTGATTTGGTCTTGGTTGAGGGAGGACATTTTGTTCGTGTGTGAGGGTGGAAGGGGGTGATTGGTGAGGTGTGGTGGTGATATTGGGGTTTGGATCGATTGGAGATGGAGATCGGCGACAAACAATCGAGCAAGCAAGTGGGCATTGAGCTAGCTGATTGGAATGGCGGAGATGTCCGCGGAGAGGGTTGGTGCCTGAGGCGTCAGGCGCTTTGGTGTGTTGACTTCCGTCTGTATGGGTCATGTTGGAACCTTGGATATTCAGGCTTCCTTATCGAACAGCAGCACCAGCAGTCTGATGAGCCCCTGCCTTTTGCGTTTTTGAGATTTAATTTATCGGTCAAGATGAATCATACAGCTGTATCCTCGTTTTCAAGTTGATGATGCCCCGCTCAACAGGATGGGCTGGGCTGTCATCCTAGGTGGGATTATCTCCAGCTTCGTTACTTAGTATTTCTATCACACATATTATCTCCTCTCGGGCAATATATCTTGGTCATATTCAAGCTGAAGGACACTCAATGTCTCAGAAATAGGGACCACTACTTCACCAAGCGAATTCCATTCACCGGTTATATATCTTTGGCACGTACAGACTATTCTTACACAACATGCCCAATATCAGTGATTTATTCAGTAGTGAGCAGATAAACTAAGACACGTCAAGACGTCTGTTCTTTCGCCCCCGAAATAGTAAAGACACAGATAGTTTATTGGATTGAAAGCTTTTCAGTCTCATTGCTCGATGTCACGGCCATGATACATAATAGGTCTCACAGTGTACGAGGTGGCTCGCATTTGCATCTAGGAGTCTGCTCTACGGCACCAACATATTCACTCAACTACTGACAATGCTTTACTGACTCATGATTTTAAAGTTTCATTGATCGACTGATTATCACGTTGTTCTACCATTGGAAGCACATCTGCTAGATGGCTTCCCAACTCATTGACTGCTGCTGTACAGGACTTCGACATCCGAGAGACAGTCCGTCAGATCACCCTGTTAACCGAGAACCGTTCAACAGTTCTGGCCGCCAGTCAAAGGCATTCCCTGAGGCTCAAAGCCCTGAAGCCCAGAGTCCACGCTGTTGTCTGGGAAAATACCAATAGAAGCAAACCCGAACGTCGCATGGTTGGCTTGATCATACATCTGGACGGAAAGCACATTGCCCTCGTTCCACTCTGTGCCCGCAAAGCACTCAACTTGGTTTTCGATTTGGCTAAAGGCGTCGGCTCCATTGAAGGTAATATCACCCGGGTCGGCGCTGGAGGCTTCAGAACCAAACCGACCCTCCATCAAGTGCTCGTTGAGTCGCTCGTGCTTGTAAAACTCGTCGCGTTTCTCCTGGGTCGCGTGGTGGGTGGGATGGCCCGCGTACGAGATGGTAAAGTGCACACCACCTTCGCCGGTATCACGAGAGGTGAGTTCCATGGGACCATACTTGTGGTGGTTAAAGCGGAACATTGGCGCAAAGGGATGGACACTGGAGTCACGGCGGGCCAACTTATGAGAATCGGGTGCGTATCCGACGAAGTCGACTTCATCGGTCGACAGGCTGCGCAAAGCGTTATGAACGAAGTGGTTGTGGGCTTTTTGTGAAGTCATGTTCTTTGCGGGCAGGCTATCCAGGTCTCGCGCAAATGTTTGCAGGTCAATCTGTTCCAGACCAGACTGCAGCCAGGCGTTTGCGGCAACGCCCAAATATCCTTTGGATTGAGCGAACTTTTTCGCCGCGGATACCTCACCACCCACGCCAACGATGGTGCTGAGAAGACCAGTGATACAATAGAAGATATTGTCGGCTTGACCCTCGTTTTGGGCGCAGGTATTGATGGTGCTTGCCAGGCCAGCACCAGTGAGAACAAGGTTGAAGGCATGCCATGCTAGACCTATGGCCCAAGGGGCCACCACGAGAGTGACATCCTCCGTCGTTCTCACATCAGCACCGGTGGTCACTGCGAGCTCGTGGATGTGCTCCGCCGTACCATTGTGGTTCAGATAGAGACCTTTCCAATTTTCCCGTGGGCCTGGGTCGAGAGCACTCCAGTTGAAGCCCTCCGGGGTCCACTTATCAACAACAGCAACGGCGCAAGTTGCAAGGCCAAGGGCAAGTATGGGAGACAGGGGCGTCCCGAAAAGACTGATTCGGACCATTCTGTCAAGGTTTGTAGAGAATGTGAGACAAATTATGAGGTATGATACTTATGTTGCTTGCTGTTATGGTTCTGGGAAGATTTCCCTTGGGGAGGAGGCCCAATTTATGTCTTGAGCCCGGGTTTGACTGCAACTCGATCTATCGCTCATAGCGCAGACTCCTTCGATTCCATACTCAGATGAAGGCCGGGGCGAGTCCTCCTGCTCGTGCGATTTCGCAGCCTTCAAGATGACCAATATGGATTATGCACAGATCACCAGCACCCTGATGTAACGTTTTGGGAAACGATGCTTCCTTCGACAAGGATACATTCGACCAGGAAGACACGCCCTGTGACGAGTGCTTAGCAGCCAATGGTACCTTGACGGCCTGCAGTGACCCATCTCGAATTTCTGTTATTAACATTTGGCAATTCGACAGAAGCATGCCGATCTGCCCTATCACAAACTTTGCTGTCAGATTCATATTTACTAGTCACCACTCCACATTAGCGACAGCTTCCAACCTGATATAATCCTTGCGATGTAAGCTCCGATTTAAGACATGGCCATACAGATGACAATGAGAGTGTTGGGACGGGGCCACTGAGGTCAGAAGGAACAACGAAGGCTATCAGTGTTCGATTCAACGAGTTATGATGACCGACCTAGTAGCGAACCCTGAATGCTTTACAGAGAGATGGTTGGGATGATCCGTAATCGGATCAATGGACAAGGATTATCTGAGGAGACCAAGGAGCAAGTATGGAGTGGTGCATGAGTTGTTGATTGGTCAATTTAATATGCTGATATATCTTGATCCATCCTGAAGAACCAGTGGATCCTTGTAAGCAGGGCCTCCACAGAAGGAGCGCATTAGAGATGCAGGGTCCTGGCGATCGGAAGAGGGCATCCGTACTCCTGAGGTCGGTATACCTTCCTTTACTGGCAATTGCATTGTGGTTATAGCGCTTCTCGTGAACTATACTCTGAGAGCGATAGTGTCCAGCCTGGACAATTCTTGTCGCAGTCGTGAGTGTATGCACACGGGACCGCGGGTTCCAAATTGACATATTCTACAGATTTAATACAACGTTAATACAGCAGCAAGGTCCATGGGATTCATTGGTGATGCGACCAATACACCAACGCTGTCCCTCTTTCTCACTATGAGTTGCTGAGCAATGATTTTGAAGGCATGCATTCATTGACGGGTCCGAGGAATCACTACATGTTCCGAAGAAGCACACTGCCCACAGGATGACCCCTCAAGTGGGCCACAGGGCGTCGGCAATAGAATGGTCATGTAACGGCAACGTCTCACAATCTCACATGAGTTATTTTTCGGTTCTTACTATGCCTGCTTAACCAAGCAGCTAAGCCCTACCGACACAGTAAGACTGTTCGCACAGACAGCCGAGCCACTAAAACAAGAAATTTGTGGGCAGTGGATTCCACAGGATTTGGTGCTGGTTGATGGGCTTAACTAGTGCTGAATCATACCATGAGAGGGTCTCCAAATCGGAATTTCCCTATCCAGCTGAACCGAGCAGCCATGCGCGTTGGCACATTCCACCGCCGTGAGTCAATTGGCTGTGTTATTTAGCTAGAATGTGACAGGAACTTGAATGAGACAAAATCACCTTCATAGCGAATCGGCAAATGTAAGCAACAGTATTGGGAAGTATTCACCACTCATGGTCTCGATTTATGTAGCCTTATGGGGGGGGTCTGAGTCAGAAATGGAGAAGTTGTCATCATAGTACTTCAGTGAGCGCCCCGGAATCAGCTACGCGAACCGTGATAGGCAGATACTCATCGTGCTAGGGTCTCACAACTAACATTATCAGACCTGGTGGTGAATCCTTGTCTCTGGAAACCTATCCACCCCCTCCATGTCCTGATCTTCCACCTTGCGATCATAACACAGATACACCATGGCTGTGGACGGGGAGAAGACCGCGGCCGGGGAGGCCTCCGAGGCCACACCGTTGCTGCAAAAGGCGGCACTCTTCGTGTCTCCGCAGGCATGTCAACAACATCAACTACTGCTCCGATGTTTCTCGAACTTGAAACAGAGAACCTCTAAAACGGCAGGTCTATTTAAGACGGAGTATGACCACGAAATCAATTCTGAAGTAGACCCGATAGCTCGACAGTCGATGATGGAGGAACGTCGATGGTCAATCTATGTCTCACGCGCTGTCCATCGATTTTCCGTTTGGTGGGCTCTTTTACCAGCAGATCCGGAAATACCAGGTATTGAATCGGAGAAGCCGTATGGGCACCACGGCGGATGGATCTGGACAAGGGATCAGTTACCTCCATTAGGTAGGCATTGGAAAGCTCACTACTCAGAGAAGATGACTCACTGACTGGCGTGAGACAGATGTTCTGATGGTTTTACATGCTTTGATACTACATCATAAATCCTTCGGAGAGGATTGTTTACGACATAAGAAGATGGCACAATGGAACGAAGGGTTCCCCCTCCAGCTAGCCTCTCAATGTATCGACACAGATAGCCTCAAATATTTGTGTCCCGAGTCCTGTAAACTAAACTTCGAAAGCATGACAAAGTTGGCCTGGGACAATCCTGATGACGCCGAGAGTGTGTCTATTGGGTGCCCCCGATGTCAGGACCAAAATGTTGTGCCGTGGACGACGCGGCGCAGAAAAGGCCTTGCAGATGATTCGTATCAAGTCTGCCAATCGTGCAAGTATGTCCTGGGAAAAACCGCTTTTATTGTCCGAAAGCTTCGTCAGGATTTGCATCTACTGCTGGATAAAGGCATTCCATTGCCAGGGACATGCTGGAGCGTGGAGGATGGTCACGGCACTTTGGCTCCAAACAAGGCGCCAAATGAGTTCGTTAAACGTTATCTCATGGACACGCTTCTGGAAGAGACGCGCCCGACGAATCTTTTCCCAGATATAACTCAAATACTCGAATTACTCGGCCAGACAGTTGTGAAGCAAGCTCTGCCTATCGTGCATGATATCTTTGAGCACTATCTATACGTGGAAAATTCTTCCTGTGATCTGAGCGCGGCGGTTAGAAGGATGTTGAAGTCGGCAACAGCAGCGCAGGATATTATTCTGTCGGAGACCGAATTCCACTCGCCACAAATGCAGACCCAATACGTTGATTATTTGCGAGGCCAAGGCAAGGGATTCTGGTCACGAAGTCCTGATCTTTCCGAAATAAACTTGATGGATCCTATCATGTGGGTATGGAGCACACATTTGCTGACGCCGCATTCATACTATGAGTTCTTCCGGCGTGTGGGCAATGGTCTGCCAGTGGATTGGCAGCCACCTCATTCTCCGAAGTGCAGGTTATGTCATACGATGCGCCCGCCTTCATTTGCTCGTCGATTCTTCCAAGGACTTGTTTCCCTATCAGCGTGGAAGGAGTTCATGGAGGCCGCCGCGTAGGGAGCTATACACGATCTCGCTTCGCCGGGCACTTGAGAGACGATGGAACGCCACCAATATTGACTTGTCATCTCGTTAGCAGGCACGGGATACAGGGATGTTATATTTCTCATCAAAGTGGTCAACAAGAAATTGGCTATTCTCCTTAGGAAATATCCTAGCTCGTAGATGGTAGCCCAATGTTTGGGATTCGCTCAAACATGGATTCGAATTATTCTTAATAGCTTATCAGTAGGCCATCTACCCGCGTAGCTATAGTAATAACTTGGTAGCTTTAGGATGTGATCCTCAAAATCACTCTACGACACGTAATATAGCAGACAGTGCCATATGGTCGCTTTTCTTATTCTTCCGCTTCATTACCCCGACCTCAACCCCGCACATGCATCGCCCAGTCGGCGCAGACAATCCCGAACCCTCCAATAATCGGTTCTCGTCTGGTCTTTCCCACGAGGACTGTGCTACTGCATTACCCCACACTTTACCCTTGCAAGAACCCCAGAGCTAATGAACTGACGTCAGGGATAGTGGGGGATCGTCCACCCCGGCTCCGCATCCCGAGTACATTGCCGCAACATATTTTCCGCAGAACGTGAATTTACTACTGGAACTTAGATGACGGCGCGCATGGACATTGCAAATAGCCAAATTTCTGTTTTGTGCCTTCTGAGTGACGGATTAGCCGGAGAACTGCCGTTTCTTCCTCCCGATCAAAATGGCGCCAGGAGTATATATAGCGCATAGGATGAACAAAGATGACGCAGAAGAGTCACTGGGCGCAGATAATCAGAGATCGCTCCCTTGAAGATGATTGACCCTCTCAGTTTGCTGGTCCTTTTTGGTGTAGCTGGCAGCAGCCAGCTCGCTTATGCATCGCCCGTGACGCAGAAAGCTGAGGCTACAAGGGCAACTTCATACTCCTACAGTTCTTTTACCTACACGCAGGTCACTTCAACTCGCTATGCTACTTCACTGAGTGCACCGCTGTCTTTTGCTACCCCATTCGCTCCAGCATTTAGCAAGGCGTCAACTCTGCTTCCCAGTAATGTGACCTATACAACATACTCCTTGCAGCCAAGCCAGACTCTCTCTCCAGACGGAGAATATGGCCAGAGTGCATATGCTGCATTGTGGGCCAACCTGTCGTATACTTCTGCGCCTCCAATCACAACTACCGTCTCCCCTACACCAGTACCCTCTAGCGAGCTGGTATACCCTCCAACTCTGTACAACAGAATTGACTATGCAGACCTGAAGCTCCCATCTGATTTTATTTGGGGCGTCGCAGCCAGCGCATGGCAGATCGAAGGAGGCCTCAAGCTCGAAGGCCGCGGCACATCTATCCTCGACACCATCGGTGCTATCCAGAGTGACGACAACTCCTCAGATGCCAACATCGCCGACCTAAGCTACTACATGTACAAACAGGACATTGCGCGACTAGCCGCCATAGGCATCCCATACCTCTCCTTCAGCATCTCCTGGCCACGCATCGTCCCTTTCGGCGTAGCCAACTCACCCGTCAACACCGAGGGACTCCAGCACTACGACGATGTGATTAACACCTGTCTTGAATACGGCATCACCCCTATCGTAACCCTAAACCATGTCGACTTCCCGACAGCCCAAGCAGCCGACTACTCCACCCTCACGGACAACTTCCTCTACTATGCGAAGCAAGTAATGACCCGCTACGCAGACCGGGTCCCCTACTGGGTGACCTTCAACGAGCCCAACATCGGCATCGGCACGAGCTTCACCTCTTACAACGACCTCACGCATGTCCTAACCGCACACGCGGCCGTCTACCACTGGTACAAAGAGGAACTGCAAGGCACGGGCCAAATTACCATGAAGTTCGCCAACAATCTCGGCGTTCCCCTGGATCCCTCCAACAGCAGCCACGTCGACGCCGCCCTCCGATACCAAGACTTCATCCTGGGAATTATGGCCAACCCATTATTCCTCGGCGAACAATACCCCTCGACTGTCCTCAACACGCCTAACCTTAACCTCACCCCACTCACCCAAACCCAACTCTCTACTATCAACAACACCGTCGACTTCTGGGCCTTCGATCCCTACGTCGCGCAATTCGCCCTCCCCCCTCCAGAAGGAATCTCCGCCTGCGCAGCCAACTCTTCCAACAGCGCCTGGCCCGAATGCGCCACCCTAACCATGATCCAATCCGACGGATGGCTGATGGGCGACATGTCTAATGCATATTCCTCCATCGCGCCACAGTACGTCCGCCAGCAACTAGGGTATGTCTGGAACACATTCAGGCCGTCAGGGATAGTGATCGCAGAGTTTGGATTCAACCCATTCGACGAATCGTTAAAGGAGGGCGATGCCCAGCGATATGATCTGGAACGTACGCTATATTACCAGGACTTCCTGGAGGAGATGCTGAAGGCGATTCACGAGGACGGAGTGAACGTGATTGGAACGCTGGCATGGAGTTATCTGGATAACAATGAGTTCGGGAGTTATGGGAACCAGTATGGAATGCAGAGTGTGAATCGCACGGATGGGACGTGGGAGAGGAGGTATAAGAGGAGTATTTTCGATTATGTGGATTTTTTCCACGAGCATGTTAGCAGTTAGATGGGGTTGCTCTCTTTTCAACCCGTTACGAGGAACTGAAAGGCAGTGAGGCAGGCAATGCCTCGTTAGATATAGAATAGAGGGGAGTGAGTTACCTCAATCGATAGAAGGCTACATTCAACGCTTGTGCGTGCTGCTCCCATGTTCAATGCTATTCAATTCTACCATGATGGTACATACATATTCCAAGCTCTCTTAAGAATCAAGTGGAACTAGTACACCATCCTACACACAATATCTCATCAAAACCATCTAATACTTTAATCCTCCACTCCACATACACCCCAGACGAAACAAACTGCTTCCATCAAGTTACTCAATTCCACCAAAAAGCAACTTACTAACCCAAGTAATCCTCTAACCACTACAGAAGCTACTACCGCGGTATATATAGATCATTCTAATAATAGTCCAACTTCCATCCCACCACCCATCAAATACCTATACCCCTCTATCTACTTTACCATCTAAATATAGCCACCAGCCCTTCAAATTAACCAAACCCACAACAGAAAATAAAGTCGCTGCCTAATATAAAAAAAAACCCCATCACAATCCCAAGTGCATCTCCCATTCCCCTCCCACCAATCGTATCCCCTAATCCTTAGTCCCGAAACCCATCACATCTTGGCATACAGCTTCCTCAGCTTGGCACGTCACAGCATCATCCAATGACTTTCCACAGATCATGGTATCTCCGTCCCGTGTGTTATTTTTGGTATCTTCTCGACTCTGTCAAGGTTATTTCTCTCTATGTTGTGTGGGAGGGATTGGGGGGTCTGAAGGGAGGTTGAGTTGGGCCCTGCAGGATCATGCCGAGGGCGGTTATTTTCCTTTGCTTTAGGTTGGGGGAAGGGTAAGGGTTTGAGTGTGTGGAACGGGCATGGAGATGGGGTATATATAAGGAAGGAAGGTGCTGAGGGGGGGATTCTTCACGGTTTTATCTTTTTTTCTTTTCTTTCTTTTTCTTTAACTTCGGTTTATTTGTCTTTCTTGAGTATAAGTTATACTCTAATTCTGGTTTCTACTATAAACTTACTTGTTGGATTCATGGATCTCTGGTATCTGCTTCGCTCATTACTTATTCTCATACTCTCATTCATTCTCATACTCGAGATATTATGTGCACCAGCAATGCGGGGGTATATGCCTCATTATGCACATGAAAACAAATCAATAACAGCAGGAACAACGACAACAAAGACATGATTCATATCCACCATTTCCCTCCCACTTTCTCTTCCTCAACGAATTCGGCTTATCCACCATCACAGTCGCTTGTGATGCTACATTACAGCTTCAACTCCCCCGGATACTCCTGCGACGGACTCTTCCCCTTATCTTCCGACACACTCATCATCACCTTCTTGGAGTACCCGACCTCATGAGTTCGGCCATCAGTATCCACAACTTGGAACCCGGAGCCGTACTGCGTGATCTGCTGCGGCTGCGAGTACATCTCCGGCGGCGGGTACTCGCTCCACGGATTCTCCGCCGCCATGGCCTTCCACTGGCGCAACTCTTCTTCTTCGCGCTCTTGACGATGCCACCAGCTGATCCCGAGCACACAGCCGATAGTCAAGATGAAGAGGAGAATAACGAACCCCATGAGCGGCAGGCCGATCAGTGTCGCCAATTTGTAGTTCACCCCACCGCCGCTGGGCGTGTCCAGCAGGTCGCTGGTGTAGGTAGGTAATTGTTCCTGGGCGAAGATTAAGGACGGGCTGATCGGGAAGGCCGTTTGAGATGGAACGGGGAAGTGGCAGTCATAGCGGAGGGCTTCGATGACTATTTCACATCAGGTTAGCCAGAGTTACGACGGCAGGAAACCCTGGAGAAACTCACAATTGGCCATGAGCACTTGTGTGCCGGTCAAATTATAGCAGAACTCGCAGGTCTCGATCTGATTATCGGCAAATGTGGAGGTGGAGCACCAGGCGCGAAGATTGATATCGTTCGGATTAAGCAATTCGAACTCGAGCGAGCTGCTCAGTCCTTGACAAGACACCAAGCATGGCGTCGAGACGCTGTCGACGCTAGCCGGGTAACCGTAGACACAGGCACTGAACGCATAGCGGAGGTTGTCTACAAAATTAGCAGATGAGCATTGAGATGCACATCGAGAAAGACTCACACAATCCCCAGTCCACGTCCGTCACCAATCCACTCGGATCAGTGTAGGTGCTGTTGAGCGCACACGAGACGCAATCCTTGAAGTTCTTGCCAGTCGTGGTGTCGTTGTAGGCCGAGTCCATGCAGACAATTTCCGAAGTGGTGGTGTTGGTGGGGTCGTTACAGACGTCCCAGCATGGGGAACCTTCGCTCACGTACAACGCAGTCGCCGGGGGCGCGACCTGGCTGACGAGCAGAAACGACGCCGCAGCGGCTGCCGCTGCCCATCTCGATGTAGATCTGGGGCTTAGACCCCAAGAGCCGAGCATCTTGGTATTTGCTTGGGTTTAAATCGAGCGTCGGAGACGGCACGATAACCTCGCCAAAGCTACCGTTTTATCTTACGGCCAAACGAGGGTAAGCTGGGGACAGTGCGGTCGACAGAGCCCGCGCCGAGAGCACCGCGCAGCAAGAGGCAGAGAGGGAGCACAGCCAGGAGAGACTCGATGGGGAAAGCGAGGGTAGAAATGTGAAGGTGAATCAGTCCCAACCTAGATAGATCGTCGGTTAAACGGCAGGATCGGTGCCATGGTGGATTGATAAAGCAGACGGCCGAGGAGGGGAGGCACCGTTCCGTGCCGGATTGGCAGACATGCTTGCCTCTTGGATGGGGTGAGGAAGATCCAACGAGTGCAATGAGGAGCAGTAGGCCGGGCGCTTCGAGGGCCTCTCAGAAGCAGCGAAGGCGGGTTGTCTCTGAGGGAGGTGTGACGGTGATTGTGACGGCCAGTGCAGCAACTCCTGCCGCTGCCAGGATGCCCGTTCATTGGCGGCTAGTAGCAGGGAGCTGCAGGCAAGCCGTGGATGTGATGCGCCGTGATGGCCGCAGATTGGCGGCGAGCGCTGACCTGCTCGCGGGGTCCGGCGCTTGCTCGCGCCTCCGCATTGGCCCAGAACGACTGCCTGCTTGCCCATCACATCCACCCGCACTAATTAGCATCCCTGCTCATCTTGGATCATTGCTGGCCAATGGATCCGTCAACCCCTCCTGCGCTGATCGCCCTAACTTATTGGCGCTTCGAGAGGAGTTTTGCTGCCGCTGTTGGGACGTAGACACACTAAATCCATAGATTGGGGTCAAGATGATCGCCTCTGTCACCCACGGCGACACGCCAACATACTATCTGCGAATAGTTATCACGCCATAAACGGACTTTCCAACAATTTGATCAACCCCCCCAAAAAGTAACGAGAAAAAAGTCGACAAGAAGGAACCAAAAGCAAGACAAGAGAATCAAGGAAAACGCCTCCCGAACGGAATGAGACGCCACAATGCATGCAGGTTAAATCTTTTGCCCTCTCACGGCTGAATTAAGAATCCCATCCACCCAAACAATATAGCCACCCGGCGTAGCTCGGGCGTGACTGCCATCCCCAAACTGAAAGCAAGCATGCACGCAAATGATATACGAAGTATCAAAAAACAAACAGAAAGCCTCCCATGGGTCCTGCCCCAGATTCCGGTAGTTACCCGTACAATTCATCATACGACGGCACCATTTCAGGTTGTGTCGGTAGACTCAGCGGCTCGGGCTTGGGGCGCCGTATTGATTTTCGATCATGCTGCGTAGACAAACGGTGCCCCTGCGGTCGCTGGTCGTCCGATGGATTCGACGGCACCGAGGAGGTGTAGCTCGTATGCTTCGAACCGGCCGTTCCAGGTCCAGACATCGGAGGCTCCATCGTGTGGCTCTGAGCACTGTGCCGGCTACGCATGCGAGATGTTACCGACAAAGGAGGCGATTTCGATGCATGGGAATAGGCGTCTGCTTCTTCTTTTTCGGCTGGATTTCGGTCGCGGGAGACATTGAGAGGGGCGGGCACAGCCACGTCGTCCTCGTCTCCAGAGGACTCGTCTGAACAAGATGCATGGTCGCATTCACGGGGAGAATCGAGGGCCTGCGACAGGCCGATTGGAGGGCTCTGCTGTTGATTTTTCCTCCGCATTCGACTAACTCGTGCATCATAGTGGCCGGTAGGAATCGTCATGGCTGAATCCACGGATGGCGCCCGCACATTGGCATCCCCAATGCGGCTGTAACTCCCCAGGCGCGGCGCGGTGGCGGACCGATTGAGTTCCAAAGAACCATGCCGTCGCTCGTGGTCGGGAGAGGCTGAAGTTGCGCCGGTAGAAGACTGATCCCATTGACTCCAGGACCCACCGTTGGGATAGGTGATGGAGACATCCCCCCATCGCGAGTGCAGCTCTGAGGATAACTTTCGCTTGCGTCGTAATTTCTGGATGATAGCCGTCATCGTCACAAGAGCGCCCTTTCTTAATGTAGTCGAGCTGGAGCACCCGGGCCCGCGTCAGCATCGACCGCACAGGTCCCTTCCAAGAACTCGGAGGAAAAACTAGGTTAAGAAGGATCAAGTCCAACCACGGTACCTTAAAATGTAAGGGCCCGCCGTCTACGGGTTCGATTTACGTCGGGTGCCTCTGCTTCAGAGGCCCCCACGACCCGGTCCCGAAGCTGCCTAGAACAGGAAAGTGAGATAGGAACAGGGACCAGACAGCCACCGAGGGACTGGCATGGAAAAGTGTAAACGGGGGGTTGAGCACCGAAAACTGCAATCCATCGGCCGAAAGCCGGCTGCATATCGCCCACAGGATGGCAGAAGAAAGACCCTTTCAGGGACCAACGCTGGATTCCTTCAGGGAACGTCCTTCAGTGCAAAGAGGGATGGGCATCGGAGCTTAGCGAGCGGGACGGACGGTGAAAGGCGAGCAGACACATCTTGAACCCGACAGAATGGTTCACCCTCCATCACAGCGGACTTTTTGTCGCCCTGGGTGGGGAGGCCTGTCGGGCGTACGCGGCCAGTGGATGAAGTCTCAGTCAACCGGAGGGGGATCGCCCTTTTTCTTGTAAGCGGGATAGTGATTCCGACGCATTGACTGGTCATGGGGAGCCTCTGGAGCAGGGAGCAGAGCCGGTCCGCGTGCCTGGAGATGGTAAAAGAGGGGAGAGCATGTCGGGAGAATAGCTGAGCGGCGCAGTCAACTTGCAGGCAACGTGCAGCCAGCCTACCGAAGGGAGCTGCTAACAGACTCCGGGAAGTTGGCGGCATCCAACCACAGTCGCAGCTGATAGTCCCCCCTTGGCGTGGTCCATCCAGCGGCTGCGAGAGTGATGGAATGGGTGTGACACAAGGCAATCCTTGTTCGAGGAGATGAATGGACCTCTCAGCGGCTACGAGGATGGGCGAGATCCCTGATGATGGAGGGAGGGAGCGTGATGAGGAATGCCACTAGTTGTCGTAGTAGCAGTGATAGCAGCAGCTAGCCTCAAGTCGTCAGCTCGACTGCCGCACCCAACTCCGACGTAGCATTGGTAACTGGGGGGTTGGAGGTCGGAAGATTGATTGGCACAGAAGCTTCGATGGGAACCAGGGTCTGGAGGAGGAAAAGAGGGGAAGCAGCAGCGACAATCACCGGTTGATCGTCGCGGTTGGGCCCGAACCACCCGTCGAGCTTATCTACGCGCCGTGATGGAGACGGCGCGCGAGGGCCAGCGTAGTGGTCACTTGTCACTTGTCACCGTGCAGCAGTCGAGTCCGGCCGATTGTCTAGCTGCAGTAGAGTGAGACATGAGGGGGGAGAAGATGGTGGGAAAGTTGTGGATTTGAAGAGAAGGAGGAGGTGGTGGTGGTGTTGGTGGAAGAAAGAGAGAGAAGATGGAGAGGAAGAGGGAGGGAGGGGGTCCCCAGTGGCTTGCCGCCTTCGGGCTCTTCCACGCTTAATTGTTTGGAAGTCACTCATCAACCTTCCTTGGCCCATCACACCATGCTGGGCACAGTAATTTAGGCCGGAGATATGTAGGTGATGAAGAAAGTGATTGTGGTTGGGTGGAGCGGGGGTCCATCCTGGTCCAACTCATCCAGTATGAGGGGAGGAGAGAGGTGACTTGCAATAAAGATACAATAGAAGGACAGACAGAGAGGAAAAGTAAATAGTAGACACGTACCTGAGGCATTCATATCATATCTCTTTTAGTCTTCGATCGATACCTTCATCCCAACTTTAATCTGCAATCATCATCATTGTCGTCGTTATCATCATCATCATCATCATCAAAGCCATAACCCAAGCAACCTTAACACCCAACAGCACCAACCAGGACTCCAAACACCCGCCATAGAAACATAAGAAAGACCACGACTATATCAGCCTACCCAAAGTTCGTCACCAATCGTGACAACACTGGTCTAGGTCGCTGAATCGATTGACCTTCCTCCACTTCACCAACCTGTCTGTTGGCCGGCACATCCAGCCTCTCCTCAACAGCAAAGCTAAAAGCATTCGAGTCCCTATCTGGCACTCTCCTCTGAGGCTCTATCCCCAATCCCGACATCCGATACATACTAGCCGTGACCCCAGGATACGGCACCGCGATGCCCACCATGCCATCAACCCCATGGTACCGGGAAGGGTCATACACAGGAAGAGGCTGATACGCTGGCGGGGGATCCTCAATGACCCTCTGCTGAGGTTGATGTTGCTGTTGATCAAGACATGAGAAAGGTTCCTGATGGGTCGATGAGGTGATCTCAAGCGGGTATTCGGGAGTATGAGGCTTGCTCCCTTCCAAGTCAGGATGATACTGATAGTACCCGGTAGTGGACTGGGACAGGTGATGGGCGAGCAAGCGTTGCTGCTGACGGCGATGACGGCGTTCGTTGATCCGCTTCTTGCATCGGATGAGAAGAATAGCGCTGATGACTGGCAGGACAGAGTGAAATGAGATGCTGTCGAGCCCCAACGCTCATGGTAGAAGCAGCCAATAAGGATAGATGAGAGTGACAACATACTCATGACCACTGCTACTCCTCCGAATACCACGCCAATGATCATTTGGTCCCGACCGGACGCGGAGGACTCCACGGATGATGATGAGTCTTGTCGAGGATATCCATCACGAGGGAGGATCATCGTGCATATCCCTTGGTGGATATGACAGATGGAAGGGAGTGAGTGGAGTGGACAACAGATTGGATGACGACTTGCTTGCTTGCTTGAAGCACCAACACAGCTCAACGATGAAACAGCACACCAGGAAAACGAAACAAAACAGAATGCAGACCAATCCACCAGGAGGACCAGAGAACCCTCCGACTTAAAATACTGTTCAAACTCACCAGTCAATCCCAGCCTGGCGCTGGAGAGGTGCCGTTCCCCGCTCGGCAGCTATTTTAATCTCACCGAACCTGTCACTCAACCAGGAACTGGCACATCAGAACTCGTGGAGATGAACAAACAAGCAAAACCAAGCCAAAAATAGCATCTGTGATAAGGTATGAGCGGGATCCATTGGATGAGAGACGTGGAGTCGCGGTGCCTGAGCGCTTGGAGGGAGTATGTTTTGAGGGCGCTTATTCGCGATGAGGGTCCGGGAGGGGACGAAAATAGCATATCCTATCTGTAGCTAATTCTGTAGGGCTAGCCTGACTTAAAATAGACACATATCTCCATCGTTCATATACCAACCTCCCAATTCCTACTATTCTCTCGCAAAACAAAGAGAGAGAAAAGGAAAATCTACTCCGCAAAAGGCCTATAAACCAACAACCCGCCCTCGGTCTCAAAACTGACCTCAACCCCAGCACCCACAAAATAAACCCACCCTTCCCTCAGCTCAAACTTCTTCTCCTCACCCTTCACCTCCATCCACCCATTTCCCCTTACAACCACCAGCAAACTCACTCCCCCAATCCCCCGATGCACCTCCTTCTCCCCCTTCCCCAACCTCACCCCCAGCACCGAGAACTCCGAAAACGGCGGCTCATAAACCTCCGTCTTCCAACAACCACCAACATCACTTTTCTTCGTCCTCAAAAGCGCACTCTCCACATCATGCGGCTTGAAACTCAACGCTCCCGTAAACAAATCCACATCATCGCTCTCCGCCTTGGGACAAAATCCCGTATTAATGACATTATCCGACCTGGCCATGCACTCCATGATATCTCCGGTAAGGTACGCATGCATACTATCCGCAGGGACACAAACTGCTTCCCCGGGCCCCAGGGTCATGTAATTCATAAGAATCGTGGCAACAAGACTACCATTATCGGTCTCCGGGTACATCTTCTTCAATCGAGTGAGTAGACCTGGAATGTATCGCTGATTCGGGCCGAATTGGGCCTCCGGGATAGTGAGCAGGGAGGAGATGGTTTCGGAGACGAGCAGCGGGGGAAGGGTGAGTAGGATGCGCGAGATTTCGCGGAGAAGGGAATCGTCGAAGGTAGGGGCGTTGGTTTCTGTGGGGAGGAAGCGTTGGAGGGGGGCGAGTTTGAATAGGTTTTCGATCTCGTGCAGGGGCTTGAAGCCGACGAAGAGCTCGAAGTTGGAGAGCGCGATGGCGATTTCGGGCTTGTGGTTGGGGTCGGAATATTTTTCTGGGTTGGATTTGTGGAGTTGTTCGGCGAGGGTTTTGTCAGGGTGAATTTGGAGAGGGAGAGCTTTTTGGAAGGAGAGGATCTTTAATTGTACAAAAATTTGCCGTTAGTATTCATCTGGATTGTGGGATGGGGGTAGTATAGGGTAGGAATGTACCTTAGGGAGAAACGGCACCTCCGCACCCCATTTCTTGTATCCTTCGCCGGTGACCTCGGGGTGCTTTTGGAGATACTCGCTTAGGAGTTCACCTGTGGCCAGGATACGCGATGGGACGGTGGGATATGTGCCCATCCACATCTGTAGTCACAGCTAATTAGTCTCGTTTTTTTATGAGAATAAGGTGGGTAAAGGGACATACCTCCGAATAATGCTGATCATTCTCCAATTCCAACGCACCGGGCGTCTTGGAGCATAGAACACCAGCTAAGGAGTCTTTGCCTTTCTTACCCCAGGGATCATTCTATTAATGTCAGTAAATTGCGCAAATTTAGGGGGTTTAATGTGATAAATGGATGCATACCTTGATCCCGCACTTGAGCTGAAATACCGAGGCTGTCATAGCGATGATGATGGAAATCAATTGATATATCCTATTCTCTGAAAGAAACTCAATACTCCATTTAGGCGAAGAACAAGACCTTATAAAGGTATACAGATATTTTACTGATATCGGAGTCATATGTTGACTGCGTGAACATGGCGTCATGGACTGCGGTGGAATGGCCGGATGGGATGGCGTCATGCCCTGATCACTACTGCCATGCCCTGATGGTCTCGCCCTGGTCCGGGAAGCCTTCCGACGAGTGATGGGAGTTTAATTTTGCCTTATTATCTGATCTGCAGATGCGGTATTCTAACTACTTTGTGATTTCAAGTCCTAGAATTATATAAGACATAAAAGTTCCTGAGGATTTGATTACCAAGTAGTGGTGGTGAGAGCGGCCCGTCAAGTTGACGTCAGTTGAGTAAGTGAAATGTTACTTAGCGACTGTGACTGCAACGTTGTCAGTGTTAGTAATCTAGAGTAATACTACGAAGTACTAAGTTCTAAAAGTAGTTATTGATAGTTAAAGATCAGTGTTAACCATCATAATATAAGGATTATTATATTTAACCGTCCAAAGGTAACCATATGTTGCTCAGAACCCCGCCAACGCCATACTAATATATGCAAATATGTCCAAGTCCACATCACGGCCGTCACACATAAAATAATGCATCGCTAACCCGTTTCACATCACAACAACAAAAACACTAATTATCCATAAATATCATCTGCATCTGGCACCATTGCCGTCGTCAAGTTCCTCCCAGATCGGCCCCGCTTCTCCGTGGACGCCACGCTGCGGCCCAACGCCGGACTGCCCCGTCGACTACTAGTAGCAGCACTATAGTAATCCACACTGCTTCGATCTCGTCGCGTAGATAGAGGCCGTGCATACCGCTCTCTTCTCTCCTCATAGTACTCATCATCATAGCAATCCTCCGCAGCATCGGGATACCGACGATGACTCCGCTGCGTACCCTCACTCGGACAACTACTCTGCACACTATCCCGCTGACTCGACCAGCGACGCGAGGTCGCCAGTCCGAGTTCCTCAGCGTACTGTGGTGCAGTAGGGATGTACTTGAATCGTGGAGAGTGCTGGCTTTGCCGAGAGGCCTTCTCAGCCATCTCAGTGGGATAATCTTGCTGGATGGGTCGGTAGGTGAACTGAGACACCCGTCTTTCTGCTTTGGTTTGGCGGTCGGTGGGGGTGTTGTTCTCTTTAGGGTAGTCGGGGGTGGGCTTGGAGCGGGAGCTGATGCGCATGGAGAGACGGCGCGGGTTTAGCGCCTTGACGGAGAATGTGCTGGTTTGGGTGGACTCGTGATGATCGTCGACAGGAGTATCCTGTCCTCGACTCAGGACTTCGTAGGCGGGTCGTCGGCGGTCTGATGATCGGTGGGGGTTGTCACGCTGGTTCCAGGAACCTTCAGTGAGAACGGTGATGCCCACGTCGCCCCATCGTTCATGCAGCCGCTTGTGGGATCCGTTTTTACGGAATCGACCGAGGGGGCCACTGACTATACTGGCCATGATGGGTGGTGGGAGGTGGAGTGATGGAGGATGATTGGATGGGGGGACACAACTCTCAGCCCTAAAATAGCTGAATATGACACATGACAGTGGCAGAGAACAAGCACTCTCGAGTGGAGGCTTGTACCCCAGACGCTCCAACGGTTGGCCTGGTAGCTGGGGACTAGGCAGGGTAAGGTGCAGAGACAGTGCTGACAGATGCACGTCCAGCCAGGGAAGAGAATATAGGACGAGGTGATTGGAGGAGAAACAGCAAAAGGTAAAATGGAAGTTGAGTTAATTAGTATAGTATAAGAGGCAAGACGCAACAACCTCGCCAAGCACAGACCATATCAAGATACTTTGTGGAAAGAATCGAAAGTAAGGCTTTCTCCAAGGCTCTCTAAGGCTGCCAGTCTGGTTCTAAGACAGCCTCGTCTGAACATGGCGGATGGTCCATATAAAAGCCTTGCACGAGCAGGGGGCCACGATGGTGATACCTTTCTTGTTCCACAATCGATATCAAAACGCATCATGCATGTTCATTTGTTTATTGCCAAGTTTAGAAGCACCCTCCATGCCCATCACCCGCATCATGGCTGTCTCATCGTGGATTAGCCGCCCGGGGTGACGGATGGGCGCTTTAGCCAAGGGTTCGACTGGAGGGATCGCCCGGCGGGTGGAAAAGGAATGCCACTGATAGGCTGACTAGATGCTATGATCTATTTTCAGATCACCGGTTTACCGTCCTAATTAACCGCCCTGCTTCGGGGAGAGAATGATGGTTAATGCGGACGGATTTAGAAGCACTAGTCGGTCACTTGCAGCAGCGTCGCGCCCGGGAACCCCTCCTTTGGCCCTGAAACCACTCACACTGTGTTCCATCTGGCTGGGAGGCCACTTCATCCCATCCGGCGTTTCATCTGGTCTGTAGGTAGGGTTGGGAGCCAATGGCAGATAGTGCTCCCTTGTGATCTTCTATTTTTGGAGCTGAACTCGATGATGGTGTGATAGAGCCTGCTACTATGCTTTTACTAAGCTATGCGGGGTTTCAACTTGTGAAGTATTAACCTGGAATAAATTGTTAAGTAGTGCAAGATTCTAACAGGTCATGACATTTATAGCGATATGCAGCTATACTATTTGGAGGAAGAGTCCGTTATATGACCAAATAGTGAAGACTTGGCAAGTGTAGGGTGTAGCTAAATAACTCGATTTAACTTTTTCTATAGGCCATTACCCTTTATTTGCTCTCTTTATTTCCACGAGGCTATAACACATAGGTTATCGGCAACCGCAATTATTCAGTCTGAAGATCACAATTTTCCGAAATAAAGTAGGGAATTGAACATAATTTTCCAGAGCGCGGAAGCAGGAAGTGTGCCTAGTAAGATATCTTGATAATTCATGGATCTGACGAGCCATTAGAAAGAAAAGAAAAGAGAAAGCTCAATAATATTTCCAAGGGAGAACAGTCCATGAAAGCCTGTTCCACCTATACAATCAGATATACTAGACAGCATGCAAAAGTGAAAGAAATGTTTCATCACCTGCGCTTCTTGACGTTTCCTAGGTATATTCCCTAGAGTTAAGTACAGCGCTAAGCGTGTCAACCACTGGGGGGCAAGACTGGCTCCTAACATCTTAAACACCAGGTTTGACCGGCTCCCCGCCACAATCCCCATGAGATCATTAAGAAACCGCATTATCACATTCATCAAAGGTAAATGAATTGAATTGCTGAAAAATTCGACACCGTCGATGATACATATCACGACCCCGCTTGGGATACGCTTGACCACTTCTGAAAAGGGCGGCAGAGGATCGTCACATCTTGCCTCGCAATGGTGTGAAGACGCTCATCTACCAAAAAGCTGAGATCTAAACTGTTAGTCTCTGCGAGATTAATGATTACTTGGTCGATCAGAGATCTCATCATCTCTGTGACTCCAGCCTGGCTATCTTGGGCGTTGCAGTGTTGCCGGCAGAAGAAGGCGATTGGTATTATTGGTATAGTTGGGTCGAGAGACTTGAATAACACCGAACACATGTAGGTTAGTGGCGAGCTAAAGTTTTGTTGCAAGATATCCTGTTCCATGTTGGAGTCCTCCCAAGACAAGCATCTTCCTTCTCTCAGTGGTGATAACGCCGATCGTAAGGTCTACAATTTCAACTTTGGGAAAGGGATCCGACAAATGAAGAGCAGTGAGAAGCTGCTCAGTCGTGATATATACCCGAGTAGCCTAAGAAGCCATAGCGCCATGGTATGCGAGTACTAGAAGGAGATATTAGTAGCAGGTATGAATGCGCCAAACCATTCAGCCGAACGACACACCATGAAACTCACTCGGTTGTATTTGTCTCAAGTAATCTCGTAAAATGGCCTCACACCTCTCCCACTATGCTGTAGCTTGGATTAGGGCTTTAATATCCTCCCTTATTGCGTCCTGCCCTTCACGATCCGGACCACGTCCCTACCCATGTCATGTACTTCGATGCTCAAACAGGACTTGACGGCCTTTTCAAACGCATTTGCCTTTTCGGTGACAGTAATACTGATGAAGGTTTCAAGGTGGGCCCATAATCATCTTGTTGTACAATTGCCTCTCCTACTTCCAGCGTACCTCGAGAAGCTAGACGAATGTGAGACGCTGATTCTAAGCAGTGGAGGAACAATCCTTACCGCTCTTGTTCTCAGTTACACACGCCGATCAACAACGCCAACAGTGACAACTATACCTTGCAACAACCGCAGCAGCAAACTCAACATCTCCTGCGACCCGACGCTATTCCAACATTTGCCCAAAGCACTAGTTCATAGTCAACTTTGTCGCAATTTGGTTAATCTTTCGGCAATTCATGATGATCACGCTATGTCTGTCATTGCAATTTGAAACCGCATGCATGGCATATGCCATCCGATGCGAGTGGCAATAAACTCAGAGCTATCTCGATTATGTTCCGATTTGGGGTAGACCACTGGCATGTATAGCTAGCTTGTAATGACCAATACACTGATGTAGAATAAAGCATTGGCAGAAGTGTTTAAGGTGGGGGCATCTTGGACCCGCCATCGATTGATTCACATTGCGCTTTGCTGATAAATCAGCATTACAGAATGGACTCTATTTCTGTGATAGCGGTGCAGATAGCAGCGGACCGCCCTCAAAATCAAGAGAAAAGTCTAAAGCCCAAGCGTGGTCTCTATACCGTCAACCCTGTAGAAAGATAACTCCAGTCCTGTCGTCTGATTCTAAGATGCAATCCTGGTCTAGACCCATTGCCATGAATCAACGCATGAACTGCCCAACAAGCTAGTATATCCTACCAAGCCAAAATATCCTCGTCAATATATAGTATGTACACCGAAGGGAAGAACCTCGTCATTATATTCTCTGTCGATCGCAGTGTTCCAGCACATACGTCACAACTGAATTCGAGAGACAATGCATATGTATTTGGTCAGTTGTAAAAGTTACGGGAAGTGGGATTGGAGACATAGGCCTTGGGCGTCATTCGAAGGTGGTGAGGTGAAGGCGGAAACGATGGCTCAGGTGTTGTTGGCAGCGCGTGAGCGGATAGATCGGGAGTCCAAACAGGGGCCCGCTGGGAAGCCACTCGTCCAATATGTATGGGAGAAGATGGATGCGGTGACTGTGTGCTACTATGAGGAGTCGCCTCATCGGAAGGCGGGTCGTCAGATGATGACGGGTCCCATGAAACATGTCGCTCTAGCGGGACGCGGGTCCGAGGGGAGGCTTCCTCACTATATTCGTCGCTCCCAGAAGAAGGACTATAAGATCCATCGTCGATGTTGAAAGGTTGACTAAGATTGTTTTGACGGCGTCGTTGAACTGCTTGGTCCAGTCTGGCTGAGGCCACAGAGTCGATGCGGTGCGTTTGTTCGGATAGCAATACGCTGCGGGATCGTTGCAAGAATGGTCTTGTCCGTCGACCCGCATCATTCCGGGCCTGTTTGATTTTTTCAATTTCATGATTATAGGAGCTTCTCCGATTCAATAAGCGTCCTCGGCCACCGCTGCTGTCGAGAGATTCGATCGAATGGCCGGTAATGTTATCTGTTCTCGCGTGGACGCGACTCGGGGAGAAAGCCACTCGGGCCCGCATTTTCTGAATGGCCAAGTCCAGGGCCAACTCAATGGCGCAGTGGTTGCGAATTCGCCCAAGCTTAGGCCATGTGGCACGCTCGCCGCTTAGGCATGCTTCAAGCATAAATTCCGTGGTCGGATTGCGTAACATTACGGGAATCCGAGAATATTGTATTTCCGGATATATGTTGATATCTCCGGAATATTTCTGGTTTACAATCGAAACTGTTTTAGTCAAAGACGTTGGGAAGATCCCCAGCTCGGACATGACTGTCATCCGATGGAGAATTTCATCCTTGGCAAGATAGGTGATAGCCCGGAGCCAGCGAGAAGCGGTAAATGTGTTTTCTAGATATGGATCTGGCCCATCATCCTTGGGAAGGAATGGAACAACATGGGGATTGACCTGCGACACGATGAAGTGGTTGACGTTGAACATCTCTGACAGACGAGTCATAGGGAGATCACCGTCCACGGAGCCGTCGATGTATTGCCTATGAAGGTCGCTCCATGGAACTGGTTCTCCCGTTAGTGGGTCCTTAGCCATGAGGGCGTAAGGCGAGAAGACAACCGGGACGGAACATGAGACGGCCCTGTTGAAGTCAGCATCAACTCATATACGTCTGAAGACAGTCAGGACCCGGTAGGGGGATATCATACACAGCAGACCAGATCAACACATTAGGCGCCGTAATGTAGTTCAATAATTTGGGTAGCTCGTAGATGCCAGCACTGGAAACGCAAATGTTGAGGATGCGTCGTGTTCGGTTATATGCCTCCTGAAAGGTGATATCGCCCAACCAATTTCTTACCACCTTGGCTAGATGAGAGATGTCCAGGAACGAACCATATTTCAAGAATCTCGCTGTCTTCTGAAGAATAGTATCTTCTTCAGTCCCTTCCCCGAAAACAGCAAAATCCCCTTCTGTAAATGAATCCAGCAGGGCCGGCAGTTCATCCTCAGTACGAGTACAGAAGACCGCACACACAATGCTGCCCGCAGACGCGCCAGAGATGATTCGCGGGAGAAGGTTAGCTTGCCATAGAGCCTTGAGTACCCCAATATGATTCATGCCAAAAGTGGCTCCCCCGGAGAACAGCAGCGCACTGCGTCCGAAAGCCTGTCTCGCGGCGAGCAACTGGTCCAGAATATACCTTGATTCCACCACATCGCACCGGTTTCGATCTGCTAGTTCAACCAACGATAATATTGTTTCCAGAGCGGTATCAATGTATTGATCGATGAGGTTCTTAGTCCCGAGATGAGCATGCTTGTAGAGAGACGCGTTGCTCATGTTGCCCAAATCGCGGCTCAGAGACGTGCGGATAAGGAACAACATGCGACTGATATCACAGTTAATCCGGGCATCGTCCAGCTGCTTGAGACGATCGAGCACGAGATGAGGGTCATAGTCGGGACACTCAAACGTTTGCTTCCAGGCAGAGTTATTCTCCAACTCATCCAGTTCACTCGCAGCGTCTCGCCATTCTTCATACGTCACAGCCTGGAATGACGTTAGTTGACAGCCATGCTGGCTGCTTCGGAATCCCAAAAAAAAACCTCCTGTAACTCACATTGCGCTTCTTGAGGTACAAAGCTTCCTTTCGCTCATCCACGGCAGCACGCAGTCTGCGTTCTTTTGGGGACTGTCCATTCCCATAGGAGCCCCACGTGTCCCCCGCCCATGTCAACGAGTTTTTGACGACGGCCGACAGCGAGGGAAGAGAAACGGACTTGAGGACGGAGCGACGGGGTCTATTTGACGTCTCCAGAGATCGGGGTTTGCCCTTGACATGACACTGAGGTCGAACAAGTGAGGAATCATGCAGGATGGACATGACCGGCTTCAGGGTGCATCAGGCTCGCATCGGTGCGGAGATGGAGGGGAAACTAAGTTTGGATTGGAGAGGGTGCCTAAACCGGGAAGGCAAATCGGAGATCTTAGCGGATTATACCCGAAAAAGCATTCGAGAGGTACTACCCCTAGGCAGAAGTAAAGAAGTGGAAGGAAGGGAGGAGGTTGGTGATGTTGGGAATGTAAGTCGGAGCAGCAGTGGGAAGTAGATAGATGTAGCCGCAAGAGTTAAGTGTGCCGCGTCTTTAGCAGGTCAGGCACGAGGCAAGGCCAGTCCTTCCGTCAGTCAGCCGGATCCATGCATTTTTACAGTGCCTTGGTCTTCTGCCAGGAATGCCACACTGAGAAAATGGCCACTCTTTCTCCCCAGACGTCACGAGGCAGCCTGTCCCGCATGCCTGATTGGTTCCCCGGCTTTCCAGCGGGTGCTGCCGATTGCCCCAGTCACGGGATGGGGGATGGGGATTACTGTCTAAGTATTGTTCACAGAACAACTTATGCGGGTTGTTGCTCAAAGAGCCTAGAACCACTCTTCATCTTCCATCTTTATCATCATCGATGAACACCCCATGTCCTCATCCATAACAACTAGACTCTTATCTAGTGGACCCCGACACCGGATCCCCGATCGGCATTTGTACAATTGTCAAAGTATGTGTGCGATGGCGATTCCTCCATCCGATGGCCCATACATCCGGTGATATCATACCCCCACAATCGTCTGCTGCATTCCCTTTGCATGCTAAAATCTGCAGATCAATAAAACTTAAAAGAGATTTGCACTTCATGCCTTATTACCCGGTGTCAGATCCAGCCGGATCGGGAACTGCGCTAAATTGGACCTAAGATGGCGACCTTGGTTCACAAGCCTGGCATGGATGGTTCAATCTCCTCGGACCCTATAAGCATCTGCTGTATGTTTTTTCCTGCCTTTCTCACTTCTCGAGAGTTTTGCAACAAACATCATATCCCAGCAGAGCGGAACGTCTTGCGTCATGGGTGTTAGTGGTCTCGCCGATGAACGAGTAAAGACCAAAGGGACATCACTCATCACTGCAAAGACACCGTAGCCATACAGGATCATGCAAAATGCAGCTGAAATGCCCTCAAGATGGACGCTGGTCGGAATCGACTCTTTCCAAGAAGGGGACCTTCCTCTGTCGGAACGGTCAGGCGAGCCCCACGCCCGCTTCACATGCTTCACCACCACTCGTCAACCCCTGCCCTGCATGTGAAGAGGGAGAGATAATCCACCATCTGGTTGGCACTCTATCACGCAAACCTCTCGTATCTCAGACACACATGATCTAGACTCGAAGTGGGACACGATAAAACCAGGCTGACCACCCACACATGTCAAAACATACCAGCCATCTTATCAAGATGTCGACATCTGACACACCCAGTCCCGGATAGCCTGTCTCGCCTGAGCCTCGACACCATGTTCTCTCCAGAAATGGCCGGCTCCCTCGATCTCTACCGCCTGGAACCTACTCCCCGGTGCATGGGCCAGTTCGGCTGACCATTTTTCTAATTTACTCGCCGACGTGAATGTGTCCTCGTCGCCGAAGATAGCCAATGTCTCATGCGCACACAGTTGATCGGCTGGCTTGGGACAGGGTATCTGTCCCTGTTTCCCTTGCCCAGGTGCCGATGATGTCTGCGCACTTGCATCAAGCGACATCTTCGAAAACAGCGTCAAGAATTGATTAACCGGTGGCAGAAGCGGCGACACAAGGAGATAAGAAACAGCAGCAGTGAGTTTGATACTGTCCGCCGCGGATCTCATCTCCTCCACTGTAGCCGGACGATATGTCGGCTGCTTCATTTCCTCGCCCAAGCTCAAACAAAGCGACAACTTCTCCGCAACCTGGTAAATCTCATGAAAAGGAGACTCGGGCGATGACCTCCGCACCAAGCCCACGATATCATGAAGCTTCGGCAAATGCGACGCAATCATCGACCCGTACGAATACCCACCCAAAATCACCCCTATCTTGCCCCTATCCCCTCCTCCCTCCTGCTGCACTGCCCTCTCCCCCAGAAAATGCAAATAGAGCAACATAAACCCATAAAAAGAGACATAGTCCGCCAACTCAGGCCTAGCCGTCCAACTCGTCCGTCCTTCTGAGCCACCAGCGCCCCTGTCCCATAACCTCATCAGCAACCATCACATCACCTCACACCAAGTCCACAACAGCCAGATACACGAATAAATAGTATCAGAGTAGATATAAAGATAGGAATAACATACCGAAAATTGAACGTCCCAACAACACACCCCAACCTCAGTACCTCCCCACCCACAACCCCCACAACCGGATCATCAAAGCATCCTCCCAGCGGCGCGTATGGATGCGCGATGATCGCCCCGCGCAGTAACGGTCGATCGGAACTGGAACTGCCGTGGAGCAATCGCTTGCGCAGATCTGGGGGCAGATAAATGCGACAGTCTAGACGGAGGCGGTCGTGTATGGAGGGGATAGAGAAGGTGTATGTTGGGGTGGAGGGGAGGGACATTTCTTTCCTTGCCTCTTTCTTGGAATCAAGAAATCGGGTTGCAGTGTATTTTGGGGGAGGAGTGTGAGGAGGTTTGTGGTGCTGGTGCTGGTGAGGCGTGGTAGTGGTATTTATATGTACGTGTGAAGTTGTATGGAAGGAAAAGAGGAGGAGCGCGATTAAACGGAGGTTGATTTGAAATGAATAAACGGAGGTTGATTTGAAATGAAATAGGGAGGGATTAGTGGGATGATGACAGTGATGATGAATGTTTAAGATGGTTAAGGTGGTGGTGGGTGGGGTGGGTGATGAACGGGTAGCCAAACTAACCATTTACTAGTGTGTGTTTAGTTGGGTCGGTCGGTCACTTAATTTGGCGGTCACTCAGGATGATTTCTATGGAGTGGAGATCATGAGATGGGGGACATAGGGGATGACCACCGTTACTTGGGATAAGGCTGGTTGGGTGGGATTAAGCTTTCGATTTACTATACAGTGCTGTTTTTAATTTGATGTTCATGTTGGCGCACGATCTTCGTGTGTTTGAGGCATAAATTTGAGAGCATGAAGTTATTCAACTAGTAGAAGTTTGGTGTAGAATATATTACCAAGAAAATATGGTGGATATCACAACTCCTGGTTTTGATTTACTATAAAATAGTTTTAAGCAGAGAGGCAATCAGTTACTGGCAAAACAAATATTGATATCTGTATAGCTGCCATACAATCAGCAGCAGTCACACACATTCATCACAGCCCCCACTGCTTCTTAACCTTGCCCTTCACGTCCTGTATCGAGACCACCTCATCCACACGCACATCATCAGGTCCTAAAGGAGCAGACGCCTCCGGAATCCTAGCCCACGAGTGATCCGGACTACAGATATTTACCCTCGTCGGCTTCCTCTCCTTCACCAGCCGCACACAGTCATCACACAGATCGACCGCGCATTCGCGGCAAATATTGCTCTTCTCCCAAGTTGAAGACGACACTCCACATCGGGCTTCGCAAATCCAAGCTACCTCCTCTGGGGAGCTGACGCTGATAAGGATAGCTACCGCGGTGGACTCGTCACCCATCATGAGTAGTAGCTTTGCGAACGCGTAGCTGGTTGTATATGTACTTATCGCGTCGTCATCGGCAAAGACAAACTGCTTGACGAACGGGAGACAGTATTCCCGGGCCTTCTCCGGTTGACCGATTCGGTGATACCACAAACCGAGAATAGCTGTGGCAAAGTTGTTCGCAGCCCATTCGGAGACATGGTCCGAGTGGACCACTCTCCGTTTAGCGATCCGTTGTAGTGTGTGAATGTAGCGTTCCGCATCTGCGGTGCCTGGCCCGGCTTGAGTGGCCTTGGTAATCAGATAGGCACCGTAGTACCTGCTTACTAGCGATTGTATGTATAGCATCAGCAGGTTCCCCTGCATGAAAGTTGCAGGAAAGTCCATTACCATCTGCCAGATCTCGAGAGCGCGGGATTCCTTGTTGTCATAGCTGATGAAGAGGTCTGCCAAAGACACCTGCAGAGCAAAGGCCAAGACTGAGTTGCGCTGTTTCTTCGCTACCTCGATTGCTGTCCCGTAGGCATATTCTAGCCATTCGAGCTGATCTGTTGATTTGGCAGCAAACGCGATAGCCTGGTAGAAGTCACTGCTCCAGACCAATCTTGAATTCTCCGAGAGACACTCTGTCAAGCGGGTGGCGCCATTGTCGCCGGATGCAGTGTCTAACCCTTTCAGGTGCTGTATGATCTTCTCGTTTGCCTCAGGGGTATTCTCCTCTGCAAGGAGTTGAATGTATTTAGAGAGGAACTTGCCCTCTGTGGTAACATGAAGAGCCTTTTCCAAATAAACTAAAGCACTCGCTCTATCTCCGAGTGACAGAAGTTCTTCGCCTATAGACTGGTAGGTGTCTGCAACATCATCTCCCTCAACATCATGAGGGAGCTTATCACGCTTCTCGGGGTTTCCGAAAGTCGTCTCCAAAATTTCAATATTCTCTTTGTAGAGCTCGAGAGACTTCTCATGTTGCCCACTGAGGCTGTACAGATATGCTAGACCGCTCCTAGCGAGCCACATCTGATCGTCCAGTTCTAATGCCGCTTCAAAGTAAGCCTGGGCTTCCTCATAGTGTGCCGTGTCCCTCAGGCAAACGGCAACTCGCCGGTTCCATTCTGCTGTCTTTGGAAGTTTGGCCCATTCTGCCGAATCAAGCACAATGGAAGCAGCAGGGGCATCAGGGAATTCTTCATCTAGCTTGCCTTCAAGCAGGCATCTGATCCGATGTATGATCAACATGCATGTACGTGCGTCCCATCGGTAGCCTTGGAGCCATTTGTTCGCAATGCACTCCGCAGCTGGAACGAGCAGCCTCGCGGGCTCCTGGATACTGCTCAGCACCCAATCGCGCATGTCCAACGGCAAAGAGTCCACAAACAGCTTATCATCTAGAAGCTTAGCGATTGGGTCCAAGGTATCCAAGGACCAGAAGTCATCTGCATCCCGTAAGCTAATCCAAGCCTCCAATACTGATTCGTCACGAAGTGTTTTTAGCAAGAGGCTTCTGATTTCCTGCAGATCAGACCCTCCGATTCGATGTATGTGAGGAATGACAGCCTTAACATGACTATGCCACCAGACAAGTGCATAATTCCGGAGGTGCGGACATTCGGTTGAGTTACAAACCAACTGTAGACACGCCTTCAGCGTCGAGATTCTCGACTCAACAATATCAACCCCAATTGCCACGAATTCGGGGCCTGCAGAGCGCTTGTTCTCGTTTTCATCACGAAAGAAATCACCAATGGAGGCATGGCAGAACATGACTTCTGTGGTTTCCGGGTTGGAACTGAAATCATTTTCAAGCTTGAAGTCCTCCGCATCTTCATCAAGATCATCGTCGATCTGAAGAGGGGATAAATCTACTTCCGCCTGCAAGTCGGATGTTGTCAGGCCATCATCTCTCACGAGCGCCAAGAAGGATGCAAATTGCAACCTGAGCAGGCTTTCGATGTCAAGAATATCGTCTTGGTCAGAGGAACCTAGGGTCAGCGTGGCTTCGATCTCTCGAAGAGAAAGAGGACGCGAAGCACACGCAACCCATCCCAATATGGTATTCAATTCTTCGGGGTCATCGCCCTTCAAATAAGCGCTGAGGCCTTCCAGTGTACGTCTCATGGCCTCATATAGACCTTTTGGCGGTCGTTGCAAGCACTCTCTAATACTGCTCGCGCGATTATGTCGTCCCAATTCTTGTGTCATTAGATCAACCCAAAGAAACATTCCCTGTGCGTGCTTCACAAGGAATTCCATAACTTCTTTCCGCAGGCTTGAAGGCGCACGAGCGATGTTCCTGGACCTCCTCACAGAATGCTCTACATAGCGAGCGATATCATCATCATTCTTGGATCGATCTATGGAAATTGATGATACAGACTCATGAAACGCATCGGCTACATCGGCCGAAAGGTGAGGTCGTCCCAGCATAACAAATTGTACCCTGGATTTGCCTGCACATAAGTAGTCCCAACTTAGCATTCCGAAGGGTAGACGGCAGGACAATTGTAGACTTACTCTCAGATTCATCAGCTGTGAGCTCACGCATAAACTCCAGGAGACTCTGCCGATCAGCCTCCATACATTCGTCCAGACCGTCTAGAACAATATAGGCACGCCGGTTACCTGCATCGCCTTCAATGAAGTAGTCCCGGAACAGGGTCGTCCATGCGCTCTGAAGACTGCTTATATCACCAGGTGCCCTGCAACGAGCCGCAACGTGCCCAGCATATACGGAATCATTGAGGCAGATTTGATATGCCACATCTCGTAACGCCTGGTGCAATCCTCTCGTTTGTGGGTTGTTGTCCTTGAAAAAGTAGTAGCCAACAGAGATTTCTGAACCTTGGTCGACGCCTTGGGGAAATCTTGTCTTCAGGTTCGAAATAATGTATTCTGCGAGAAAGCTCTTGCCAGAACCGGGTGGTCCATTAATCCAGAGTAGGGGTTGCTCCTGATTCAGCCATGACCGAAATCCCACCTCTGCCTCAATCCATTCTCCAGTACCAGACAGCCGTTTTCTTGCGAAGGTGTAATACATGTCTGAAGGAGCCAGTGACGGCTGTAGGAGTGTCCTCAGGTAATCAGAATCACCATTGGCCTTCGCACCTGACCCTATGAATGAACCTAACAGGCTACTAATGTCCCGATGCACCTCCTGGCGAAGATCATTCTGACCTTCCACGAGACGTTGGAGATCCGCCTGAGCCTGAGCTAACCTACCATGGTTATCTTCTAGTACAAGACTAGCTCCATTAAGCACAGCAGACAGATTCTCAACAGCCACGTTGGCCTTCTTAGTCTCACTCAGGGTCTCTGCTCCAACTAGTTGATGTTCTGTTTGACAGAGCCTGTCCAACTTGGCGACCAACCCCTGCAAGGTCTTATCAGAGCCGAGCAGGGCATTTTTGGTAAATTGGATGATTCGGCCTCTCAACCCAGCCCGGACTAGCTTAGTCGCTTGACCAAAGATTTCAAGTAGGGTAGCTAGGATATCAACAACCTTTGCTTGAAGTGCATCAGACATGCGACTACCGTCGTAGATGGCGAGGCGGACAAGGAAGTCCTAAATTTCCAAGAGGGGTCAGACCACGATGTCTCTCAGTATGTCTGATAGAATACAGATAAGCTTGCCTTTAAGGTGACAAATAGTTCTATGACTGCATTATAAGATGCGGACACATCTTTCGCAGCATCAATAAGATATGTAATGGCGCTGAAGCACACGCCACTGGCTGGAAAGGCGTTAGAGGCAATGCTTGCAGCCATAGACCCAAAGCGTTCAATTGGATTGCATATGCATGTCAGAATGTTGAAAAGCGAGCGCTTGTTCTCTCTAAACTGGCTAAAATGACCATTCTGGCTATCCAGCCGATTGAGCAACTCTTCCACTGAAGAGGGGTGGGGTAGTGAGGGATCATCGAGTTGTCTGCCCACAGCCGCTGTATATCTTTTCAACGCCAAGTCCCAGGTCACTACGAACTGGGAGTGGCTTTCGTGGGTGATAGTCATCTTTTTCTAGGCTGCTAGCTGAGATTCAAGAAGACAGAAGATGATGATGGCTGCAAGAAGGAACTAGTCCGGTCTTGTTCAGGCCCCGCCGCCCAGAAGAAAGTAAGCGATGCCATACGAGCTATTAACCAAAACAGACAGGATTAGCGGAAGAAAGCGAAGTCCGCACTGCACAGGTAGCATACAGTAGGTATTAGAATTCACATTATACCCCGATGTTCTGCAGGAGGCTCTGCATTGCGGATTGGTCGTCATAGGCTAAGCTGGTTTGCCAGCAACCTGCAGGCTGCATACCAGATCAATTAAGGAACCTCTGTCATAGTCTATCAAACAGAGAAATGAGTATCACCCGAAATCACTACGCTAACTAACGCCTTGCACCCGTCTATAGTCAAATGGTAGGCCTGTGGAGGATAGGTTCACGATTCAGGGAGCAGCCAGGCGGGATCCGGCTCGTCATCTTCATCATCTGAGCGAGACACAGCACCATGAGGGTGCTCCTCAGTATCCTCGAGAAACTCAGCTGGAGGCTCAGGGTTGTCAACACCAAGGGGATCTCCATGTGCGTCATGATCCTCGTGAGTGTGAATACCGTTCGAAGTTCTTTTGTCGGCCGACGGGGAAATGTCTGTTTCAGGCACATTGAAAATATTCAACAGCAGTTGCCGCGCTTCTCGCAACGCTTGCAGCTCCGCCGAGATGCAACAAACCAGCAATTTCCAGTCTTTATTCTCTGCAACCTCTAGATGATTTTCTACGCGCTCTGTGGTATGCGTCAGGTCCTCCAATACTGCCCGAGCGAGATCCTCTTCCGACTTGCTACCAGAAGGGCCATCGTGGTTCAGTAGTTGTGATTGAGATTGGATAGAAAGACGCATTGCTGACTTGAGTCGCTTTTCAAATCCAGAAACCTCTCCGATCACTTGCTTCCAGACACCACCTCCAGCTTCGAGGGCCTCAATTTCGGCGTCCACTTCCCGTTGTCTTTCTCGCAAATCCGATTGTTCCTTTTGCCAGTGTTCCTCTGCCATCTCAAGGGTTCGCCGGTTAGGGTTCAAGGAATAAAAGGTTGCGTCTTTGGAGCTGCTATCTTGAGGTTTCACGGGCGGATTCTGGAGGTACTTTCGGACGTTCGAGTCTAGGAGCGATATGGAAGCTCTGTAAGAAGAAAGTTTCGATTCAATAGAATTTTCCATTTGGGACAATTCGCGAAGAATATTTTGATGTCTTGCTTTCATTTGAGACAACCTAGTCTCCATCTCATGTATATCCTCCTCAAGCTTGCGACTTTCCTGGCGCAAGGCAACGGTGTGCTGGCTTTCCCGGTTATCCTGAATTGTCGAAATGGCATCTTCTAGCCCAGCGCGATGGATATTGAAGCCATTGATATCTGCCAACGCCTGTGTCCTTTCATCGATCCGGAAGGTTAGTATCTCTCGCTCTTCCTCGCGAAGCCTCAAGAGGTCGTATATAGATCTGAATATCCCCTTTCTGGCAGCAGACAACCCGATCTTCTCTGGAGCCGGTTGGCGGATTGGTATAGTTGGGGGACGCTGCGAACTGCTTGTGTCCGAGGTCGGTGTATAAGTTCCGTCGGAGATGGCGCCATTCTGCGGGGATCCGTTAAGAGTAGCCAGAAGTCCTTCACTCTGAGCATCGATTAATATCTGTAAATTACGCTGAATCTGTCTTGCCTGGCGGTCAATGTAGACGATAGGGTCCTGATGAAGGGAAGAGGTCCCGATAGGCAGAGCCGGCAGGTGTTTGTCTCCAGCTTGCGGAAGAATCGACGACATTTGGAAGGAGAACTGGATAGCAGGGAATCAAATTACCAATACATGAGAATCCCCTCCTTATGGATATGGAAATGAAACAAAGGCGACAGCTCAGAACCCAAGTGACGGTGAAGTCTTGGACCAGATCACGAGTGTTTGTGCAACTGCCCTGTCCGGTCCCATGCCATCATCGGTCACGTGCCATCTCTAGGGGTTTCTGCAGGAACCACGGGAACCTTTCGACAGCTTCCATTGACGTGTGTCTCGCTGCTCTGGAGGAAGCTTCCTAATCACTCCGAGCTCATCTCTTCCATCATCTGTTATTTTGTTGCCTTGACTCCTTCATCGCCCTTTTTCTGTATATTTCGTTCTTTGAGGTGCTTAGATCTCCAATAAACACCCCATCCATTCACCCACGCCTTACCCTCAATCTCACAGCTCCGTCGAAGCTGTCGCCTCACTCCCCTCGCGACAGCACACCCGTCCTCCCACAGCGATGGTTGGACTCGCTTCGGCCGCTGGCCTCGTCGGCTTTCTCTCAGAGCCGGATCCTGAGTTGAGAGTCTTTGCTCTGAAGACGCTGGACTCACAAATCGACCTGCTCTGGACGGAAGTCGTGGATGCTGTTCCTCAAATGTTCGTACTGGCCCTTGTCTCTCCATCTGCCTCATACCTTCATCATAAATACCCCATCCTGTCGACCGGCCACAGGCTGCATCGATGCTGACATTTTGCGATTTAGAGAAGCTCTTTACGAAGATGAATCGTTCCCCGAGCGCGAGCTCGCCGCCCTGGTCGCCGCAAAGGTGTACTACCACCTTCAAGAATACAATGAGAGTATGGTATTTGCTCTGGGAGCTGGGAAGCTCTTCCAGTTGGATAGCGGTGGCGAGTTTGAGGAAACCATTATCGGTAAGAACAGCCGTTCCCCAGGCATTTGCTCACCCAGAATGTCATCTTACCGGGATATACAGCGAAATGCGTCGATACCTTCGTCTCGCTCTCGGCGGCACAGCGGCCCGTCGCGGGTGACCACCAAGCCAATCTGAACACCTCTTTCCCCACCTCTGGCGAAGGCGCCACAAGTACTTCTGCCAGTTTGACATCCCCGATCACACCTTTCTCGCAATCAGCCTTGCCATCCAAGTCGCTCTTGTCTAGGCAAGAGGTGCCCGGAGTGGATGCTGCTTACCCAGGGGGTGAAGATGCGGGTGTGAACCATGCCGAAGAAACCCCTCTAGTCCTGAAGCGTGGTGTTCAGGGCCACCTTCAAACCGTTATCGATCGTCTGTTTGAGCAGTGCTTCGTCCAGAAGCGCTACCGTCAAGTCATTGGAATCGCTATTGAAGCAAAGAACCTCGATGTGCTTAGAAAGACGATCCTCCGGGCCAGCGAGGATGAGAAGAAACAGAACGGAGAGTCGCGACGCAGTGAGGAACTCATGGAGTACGTGCTCGATATCTGCATGGGAATTGTGCAGGAACGCGGTTTCCGCAACGAGGTATATAATTCATTAAGATGATGGCAAAACACCCAGAGCTAACCCTTGCTTTGAAGATCCTCAAACTCATCCTCGAACTCCTCAACGAGATCCCGGCCCCCGATTACTTCTCCATCGCCAAGTGTGTTGTATATCTCAACGAACATTCCATGGCGTCAGTCATCCTCCGTCAACTAGTTGAGAAGGGAGACGCTCGTTCGCTCGCTGTCGCCTACCAAATCTCTTTCGACCTCTACGATAACAGTACGCAAGAATTCCTGCAGAAGGTTCGCCAGGAAATTTCGGAGCTCGTGCCGGAGAATGATGAGTCCGAACAGGAGGCAGCAGGTGGGGACCAAGAAGAGTCGAAGGAATCCGATCCTTTGCTGGACAGCCAGTCTAGGTCTATTGGGGATTCGCGCACGAAGATCTCACCCGAAGCACGCACGGCCTTCAAGAACATTCGTGATATTCTCGATGGCGTCAAGACCAACCAGTTGAACGTGGAATTCTTATTCCGCAACAACAAGGCCGATATTGCCATCATGAACAAGCTCCGCGATAGCCTAGAAGCTCGTAACTCTATCTTCCACTCTGCGGTTTCGCTTTCGAATGGTTTCATGCATGCCGGTACAGCGCACGACAAGTTTTTCCGGGATAACCTTGACTGGTTGAGCAAGGCTGTCAACTGGTCCAAGTTCACGGCTACAGCTGCTCTTGGTGTTATCCACAGGGGCAATTTGAGCCAAGGACAAAAGCTCCTGCAGCCTTACCTGCCCAAGGAACGCTCTATCACCAATGTGGCAGCCGGCGGACACAGCGGAGCCAGCTCGATTTACAGTCAGGGAGGATCTTTGTACGCTTATGGTCTGATCTTCGCCAATCATGGTGGTATGGCCGTTCCTGTGATCCGGGATTACTTCAAGAAGGCTACAGATGAGGTCATCCAGCATGGTGGAGCTCTGGGTCTTGGTGTTGCAGGCATGGCTAGTGGCGATGAGGGGCTTTATGAGGACCTTCGCAATGTGTTGTACACCGACTCGGCTATCAACGGTGAGGCTGTCGGTCTTGCCATGGGTCTTATCATGTTGGGTACAGGTAACATGAAGGTCCTCGAGGATATGATTCAGTATGCCCATGACACTCAACACGAGAAGATCGTTCGGGGTTTGGCTATGGGCATGGCCTTGATCATGTACGGTCGTCAGGAAGCTGCTGATGAGCTGATTAACGGCCTTCTGGGCGACCCTGATCCTGCTCTCCGCTACGGTGGTATCATGACTATCGCGCTTGCCTACTGTGGTAGCAGCAGCAACAAGGCTGTGCGTAAGCTCCTTCATGTTGCTGTCAGCGATGTGAACGATGATGTTCGACGAATTGCTGTTCTGAGCTTAGGATTCATTCTGTTCAGGAAGCATCAGAGTGTACCTCGTATGGTTGAGCTACTGTCTGAGTCTTACAACCCTCATGTTCGTTATGGTGCGGCAATGGCACTGGGTATCTCTTGCGCCGGAACTGGTCTGGATGAGGCCATTGACCTGCTCGAGCCGATGCTCAAGGATTCAACGGACTTCGTGAGACAGGGAGCGCTGATCTCGTTGGCCATGGTCCTTGTGCAACAGAACGAGGCCATGAACCCCCGTGTCAGCTCTCTCCGCAAGGTCATGATGAAGATGATTGGCGATAGACACGAGGATGCAATGGCCAAGTTCGGCTGCGCTGTTGCCCTTGGTATCATCGACGCCGGTGGTCGTAACTGCACCATCAGCCTCCAGACGCAAACCGGCAACCTGAACATGCCCGGTATCGTTGGCGCTGCCGTCTTCGTCCAGTACTGGTACTGGTTCCCTCTCACCCACTTCCTGTCCCTTAGTTTCGCCCCGACCTCCGTCATTGGTGTCGACCAGAAGCTCGAGGTACCCTACTTCAAATTCCACAGCAACACGCGACCCAGCCTCTTTGACTACCCCCCGGAGCAACAGGTTAAAGCCGAAGAGGCGCCCGAGAAGGTCAAGACAGCCGTCCTTTCGACCACCGCCCAGGCCAAGCGCCGTGCACAGCGTCGGGAGAAGCAGCAAAGGCGCGAGAGCATGGACATTGATCAGACCCCTACGACTCCCAAGGTGTCGGACCAGGCTGACAAGATGGATACGGATGAGACAGCAGTGAAGACGGAAGAAGAGAACAAGGAGGGTGAGAAGGAGGCTGGCGAGGGGCAGAAGAAGAAGGTTGAGCGGGAGAAGGTCGGATATGAGCTCGAAAACATGTCTCGGGTTCTTCCCGCACAGCTCAAGTACCTCACATTCCCTGACCCCCGGTATGAGCCGGTCAAGCGGGTACGTTGCCCTTCCCAATTTCTGTGTTATATTGCGATGAATGCCCTGCTAACTGAAATCCAGCCTACCGGTGGAGTTGTGGTCGTACTTGACAAGACCCCCGAGGAGCCCCGCGAGACGATTGAGATGACGGCCAGCAAGGAGACCAGCAGGGAGGCTAGACAGCCTGCACCCGCCGCGGATGTCGCAGAGTCCCTGCAGGACCGACTGCAGGCCACCATGGGAGCCGCTGGCCTGCAGACACCTCAGCGTGGAGCTGGGCGCTTCCCCTTTGGTGCGGATCTGGGCCCGTTTGCGGGCGCTGCCGCTGCTGCCGGTGTACTGACGGCTGTGGATGAGGACGAGGAAGGCGGCGAGGAGGCGCCGGTGCCGAATGAGTTTGAATATGAAACCGAGCCAGAAGACGAGTAGAGTAGACCATGAGATCTACGAACCTGCTCGTTGTAATACTAGGATAATTATGGATTGATGTCTTATTCTATCTCTGCAAGCGGCACCAGCTGCGTAACGTTTTGAAGCATTTACTATTTTACATGTGCCTTATATTATTCGTGGATAAAATCTTCGGAATAGAAGTGAGGAGTGATGACAATCATTGAATCCTGTCTCGGCTGTCTGCATGCAGTTTAATGGTCTTGAAATCCCCGAGTGGACTGCTCGTAATTTTTGAGTAGCGTAGCTCATGTTACACATGAAGCCAAACCCACAGCGGGCATATCAGACACTTTATATAGTGCAGTTTCTGTAGTGACACCAGCCTGGCACTCTATGAACACGACACGGAGTTCGGAACCTCTCAGGCCCAGCTGAGGTACTAAACAACATATTCAACGAATCACTCTTTCGACAAATAATACTCTAGGGCTAACTAACAACTATAGCTATTAATCAGTTATGTGGAGACAAAATCTAAGTAACAGCGTGGTAGATAGTTCCCCGAGGACCCTCCCACCCCATCCCTCATGTCAGATTCATTCAGACATACCCCATGAAACCCATCCGTCCCATCCATCCAGCTGATCCTGATTTCTGATACATAACTTCCTTCACATGCTTACCCTGCCTGACTCCCGGCAGCCGAACCACGCAGCGCCAGCCAGCCAGCCCCATGACATAAAACACAACCTTGAAGGGACTGATTACTTGGGCAGCAGGCGGCTGCCTCGGCACTTACTGCATTCGGCCAGTGCAGGTGCACGTGCCAGAGTGCCCGAGGTGTCTGATCAACCAATCAGTGCCACTAGAAAGGAGGACCATCATCCGGAGTGGCCGAGGCGGGAGTGGCCCACGTGAGTGTGCGGTTCCCAGTTCTTTTCTGCTTAATGAGGTAATGATGTATGCTGGCTGGTGGATGGTTGGTAGACATGTGAAAGTAGAATGGATTGTCATTGTCACAGTTCATTGTGTTGGAATGAGTACACTCTGGACAACTCTGAGTACGGGATATCTTGTCTGTCGATCATCGGACTCTTGCGCTGTGCTCTGTTACCTCTCTGATGAATTTACTCCGAGGGAGTGACTATCATTGATTTAATTACTCGGTGGGTTCAATACTACTTCAGGTGTGTGTTATTGTGGGCCGGTCGTTCATGATAGTAACTCCGTTCAACTAGACTACATCTTTCGCCTTGTCCGAAGGCACGGGGATCCACTCTGCTCCCTTCTTCTGCCGGGGCCCCGTAATATCCATCAGAAGGTAGCTTTCGTGTCCTATCTTACTCGTTATTCATATCCTAGGTTAAATTGTCTGGAGTGATCATCGTCATTTAATTCTTTGGCTTGTGGCGTGGCGGGGAAAGCTCCGTGACTTTTGGTTTGGCTCGGGTACTGCTGAGCTCTGATTTCTTTGCTTTTGGGTCTTTGACTTTATATAACAGTCGGATACTTTGGGTTCCCCTTACTTTTCTTTTCCCTCTCTCTCTCTTTCTTCACACTTCTTTACTACTACTTTTGGTTTTGCTGGCTTGGTCCGTCCCCAGTCATCCCTACTATACCCTCCTCCCCCCATCCCGGATCCGGCTCTATACCCACTCTCTCCTCTATCTACTACCAATCATGGCCAAGACTTTCACAAAAGGCGACGTAGCGTCGCACAATAAGGCCGATAACCTCTGGGTGGTTATCGATGAGGATGTTTACGACTTGACCAAGTTTCAAGATGAACATCCAGGTGCGTGCTTGACTCCTGCGAAAGAGGCCCTGTAATGCAATCAAATGCTGACCATCAATTTGCGACAAATTAGGCGGAAAGAAGAGTATGCGATAATCCTCCTATGTCTGTATTAAAATCTCGCGTCTAACCAGTCGTCCCTCCATCTAGTCCTTCAGCGTGTTGCCGGAAAAGACGCCTCGAAGCAGTTTTGGAAATACCACAACGAGGGGATCCTAAAGAAGTACAAGGGAAACTTGCAGATTGGTTCCCTGGATTCCAAGAAAGCCGCAGCTCCCGAACCACCTGCTTCTTCTACTCCTGCATCACAGCCTTCTAAGCCTTTGGCGGCACCAGTTGACGTTGCTTCGGCGAAGTCGTCCGAGACTCAGGATCCTTTTGGAGAATTGATTCCTTTTGCGGACCCGGCGTGGTACCAAGGTGTAAGTTCATCGTGTGATTGTGAATGTTGACGGGCGGAGGTGTGGGTAGAGGACACTAGGCTAACTCGCTGGATTTGATGATTAGTACCACTCGCCCTACTTCAACCAGACTCACTCGGCGCTCCGCGAGGAGATCCGCCAGTGGGTTGACTCTGAGATCGAGCCGTATGTGACCGAATGGGACGAGGCAAAGAAGGTCCCCGACCATATCTATAAGCAGATGGGCGAAAGGGGATACCTGGCTGGTCTTCTGGGTATGAAGAAGTACCCTGTCGACTATACTCCGCACCGAGTTCAGTCCGTCGCGCCAGAGAACTGGGACCTGTTCCATGAGATGCTCCTCACTGATGAGCTGTCGCGGGTCGGCAGCGGTGGCCTGGTATGGAACCTCATCGGCGGATTTGGCATTGGTTGTCCGCCGCTGGTTAAGTTTGGAAAGAAGCCCCTTGTGGACAGGATTCTGCCCGGTATCCTGGCTGGCGACAAGCGCATTTGTCTGGCCATCACCGAGCCGGATGCGGGTAGTGATGTTGCTAACCTAACCTGCGAGGCTAAACTATCGCCCGACGGCAAGCATTACATCGTTAACGGTGAGAAGAAGTGGATCACCAACGGTGTCTGGTCGGATTACTTCACCACTGCGGTGCGCACTGGTGACGCCGGTATGAACGGTGTCAGTGTACTCCTCATTGAGAGGGATATGGGCGGTGTCAGCACCCGACGCATGGACTGCCAGGGTGTCTGGAGCAGTGGTACCACCTATATCACCTTTGAGGATGTCAAGGTTCCAGTTGAGAACCTCATCGGCAAGGAGAACCAAGGATTCAAGGGTGAGCAGCCTAGGCACATCGACTCAATCTCGCAACCCGCTAATAATTACTGCAGTCATCATGACCAACTTCAATCACGAGCGTATTGGCATTGTGATCCAGTGTGTCCGGTTCGCCCGGGTGTGTTATGAAGAGTCGATGAAGTATGCCCACAAGCGCCGCACCTTCGGCAAGAGGCTCATCGACCATCCGGTGATTCGGATGAAGCTGGCGCACATGGCCCGTCAGATCGAGGCAACATACAACTGGCTGGAGAACATCATCTACCAGTGCCAGTCGATGGACGAGACTGAAGCCATGCTCAAGTTGGGTGGCGCCATTGCCGGTCTGAAGGCGCAATCCACCACCACTTTCGAGTTCTGTGCCCGTGAGGCCAGTCAGATCTTTGGTGGTCTCAGTTATAGCCGTGGTGGTCAAGGTGGTAAGATTGAGAGGTTGTACCGTGATGTTCGGGCCTACGCGATCCCTGGTGGAAGCGAGGAAATCATGTTGGATCTCAGCATGCGTCAGAGCTTGCGCGTGCATCAAATGTTTGGACTGAAGCTCTGAGAGCAGCTATATCTGCTATTTCCTTTCATTTTTGAGGGTACATAGATCACTATTGTAGTCGCTTTTTATAGCCACTTTTGCGGATCGGATGAGAAATTGTATCTCCCATATGGTGTATTTATATGAACAAATATGAACTAGCTTGGTAAAATAGACTCCACCCTTCAGTAAATTGATTGTGTTAGTATCGATATGGGTATTTGCTCGGATGAAAGAAACCATTTAGAAAATGTTCATCAATGGAGCAAACAAGATCATCAAAAAGAGCAAGAGCGATGCCGCCGGGCGCATTCCGGCCCGGCAGGAGGACCAGCCATGCAACACGCCCGCCCGATGGAAGCCATCGATCTTGAACTCCGGCCACCACTTCTCCCCAAAATCAGCTTTTTCATCTCAGCAACCACTTCTTCTTCTCTCCAAGCCAATCCAGCGGCTGTTATGTGCTAGCAGTCTGACTTGGCATATTGTGGGAAAGATCCGCCTCTCTTTTACCTCACCCTTACTCTGCCCCGTTGGAGACTACAACACTACCTATCCTGTCGCGGTCGCGGACTCGGACTCCCCGAACGAACGGAACCCTCCGCCCAAAACAGCTCCTGGGACCTTACTCCTGGCTGCTTCTGCTCTCTACATAGACTGCCATTTGTTGTCTTGGATTCGCTCACTCCCATTCTTCATTTTCGGACAATTCGTTGCCTCTATACACTTCTGTGAGCTGGTATTCGCCACAGCTTCCTTCACAGTGCCGGTTTCGATATTTGTTCGACTCCACTGAGCATCAGAATCGAGCTGAGACAAATCGATATCGCTTGACGGACGACAAATAACGCTGTTCAACACTTGGTCTTTGTCTTCATCTGTGCTTTCCTTGCGAAGCCACCATCCACCCCCCCTGCGCCCTCAAACATGTCTCGAAACGTGCTAGATCAAGACTTCGGGTCTGAAGAGGAGGACGACGACTTCAACCCCGCTCCTGCGGATGACTCTGGGGATGAAGATACTAAGGTTTGTTGTAAAAGTGGGTGGCAAAGTGAACTATTTCACTGATACATAAATAAAGCAGGCTGCGCGTCGCGCTCCAGACGATGACGACGATGACGATGACGAGGAGGAAGTGAACACTGGGCGGAGTGGAAGGCAACGTGCTGGCAGTGAAGACAACGCCGGAAGGGGCGCTGATGACGATGAGGAGGGCGAGAATGACGACGAAGAGGAGGAAGGGGATGAAGAGGATGAAGACGAAGAGGAAGAGGAGGAGGATGATGACGAGGATGCCAATGCTGTGAGTATAGGTTTTGGTCCTAAGTTTGGAAAGGTCACCGGCTGATCATGGTTTCGTTTGTAGGGACGGCCACGGAAGCGCAGACGCAAAGCCGGTGTGCACTCGTTCTTCGAAGAAGAAGCCGGTGTCGATGAGGATGAGGATGAGGCTGAAGATGACGAGGATGAACTGGCGGAATTCGGTGGAGAGATGCACCCGGATGATATGGACGCCCTGCCTGTCGGTGCTGAAACGGACGACCGCCGACACAGACAGCTTGATCGTCAGCGTGAACTGGCAGCCAGCATGGATGCGGAGAAACAGGCACAGATGCTCAAGGAGCGCTATGGACGGAACCGCGCCGCGGCTACTGACGCAGTGGTTGTTCCTAAGCGACTGCTTCTTCCTAGTGTGGACGACCCTAGCATCTGGGGTGTTCGCTGCAAGGCCGGTAAGGAACGTGAAGTCGTATTCTCAATCCAGAAGCGTATTGAAGAGCGACCTCCGGGGTCTCGAAACCCCATTAAGATCATGTCGGCTTTCGAACGTGGGGGTGCTATGGCCGGTTATATCTATGTTGAGGCGCGCAGGCAGGCCGATGTCATGGATGCACTACAGGACATGACCAATGTGTATCCGAGGACGAAGATGATCTTGGTCCCAGTGAGAGAGATGCCCGACCTCCTTCGAGTACAGAAGTCCGAAGAGCTCATGCCTGGTGGCTGGGTTCGTATCAAGCGTGGTAAATACCAGGGCGATCTGGCACAGATTGAGGAAGTCGAAACAAACGGCTTGGCGGTGACAGTGAGACTGATTCCGCGTTTGGATTACGGAATGAACGAAGATATCGGTGCCCCTATTTCCGATCCGAAGAGGAAGCGCCCTGGCATGAACCCAGCAGTGGCACGGCCTCCCCAGCGTGCGTTCAGTGAAGCTGAGGCCAAGAAGAAGCATGCAAAGTACTTGTCTGCCACGTCTGGTTTGGGTGGAAAGTCGTGGAACTATCTCGGCGAGACATATGTGGATGGCTTCTTGATCAAGGACTTGAAGGTTCAACATCTTATCACGAAGAATGTCAACCCTCGACTCGAGGAAGTCACCATGTTTGCTCGCGGCTCCGAGGATGGCACCTCGAACTTGGATCTGGCTTCCTTGGCTGAGACGCTGAAGAATTCTGCTGCTGAAGACTCCTACCTGCCCGGTGACCCGGTGGAAGTGTTCCGAGGTGAACAGCAGGGCTTAATCGGTCGCACAAGTTCTACTCGAGGAGACATCGTGACTCTGCTGGTTACGGAGGGCGATCTGGCTGGGCAGACAATCGATGCGCCTGTCAAGTCCCTTCGCAAGCGCTTCAGAGAGGGTGACCATGTCAAGGTTATTGGCGGCAGCAGATACCAGGATGAGCTGGGTATGGTGGTACAGGTCAAGGACGACACAGTGACATTGCTTAGCGACATGAGCATGCAGGAAATCACAGTTTTCAGCAAAGATCTCCGACTATCTGCTGAGACTGGTGTAGATGGAAAGCTGGGCATGTTCGACGTTCACGACTTGGTGCAATTAGAGTAAGTTCCCTTCTCCCGCTGCCATGGACACTAGGATCTAATTCATGCAGTGCTGCCACCGTTGCTTGTATCGTCAAGGTTGACCGAGAGTCCCTGCGAGTACTGGACCAAAACGGCTCTATCCGGACGATTCTTCCCACACAAGTCGCGAATAAGATCACTCCCCGCAAAGATGCTGTGGCTACGGATCGCAATGGCGCAGAGATTCGCCATGGAGATACGGTTCGCGAGGTCTACGGCGAACAGAGAAACGGCGTGATTATCCACATTCACCGTTCATTCCTGTTCTTGCATAACAAAGCACAAGCCGAGAACTCTGGTATCGTGGTTGTCCGCACCACCAACGTTGTTACCGTCTCGGCCAAGGGCGGCAGATCCACCGGACCTGATCTCACAAAGATGAACCCGGCTTTGATGAGGAACGGTGTGCCTGGTGGTATGATGGGCCCTCCTCAAAAGAGCTTCGGGCGTGACAGAATGATCGGTAAGACTGTCATGGTTCGCAAAGGACCGTTCAAGGGTCTTGTTGGTATCGTCAAAGACTCTACAGATATGCAGGCTCGTGTGGAGCTGCATTCTAAGAACAAGTTGATCTCCATACCCAAGGACATCCTCGTCGTCAAGGACCCTGTCACAGGACAGACGATAGACATGGGTCGTGGCCGGGGAGGACCGCGCGTGCCGCATGGAGGATCTGGAGGGCCTCCCTCTGCCTGGCAAGGCGGCCGTACCCCAATGGGAGCTGGAGATTCGTCCCGGACGCCAGCCTGGGGCGGTCCCTCGTCATCAAGAAGTAAGCATCTCCTTCCATGCCAACACTCAGTTTATCATGCTAACCCTTTCTACAGCACCCGCCTGGGCCGGCATGGGCGGTTCCCGCACCCCAGCCTGGAAGCAAGACGGCTCCCGAACCTCCAATCCCTACGATGGCAGCCAAACCGCCTACGGAGGCTTCGGCTCACGTACACCCGCCTGGAATGCCGGAGCCCGCACTCCTTACGTTGGTTCTGGCAACAGTGACTTCGACGCCTTCGCCGCTGGCTCCCGAACCCCCGCATGGGGCTCCTCCAACGCCGGTAACCGCACTCCCGCCTGGGCCGGAGCCAGCGCCAGCAACGGCACTAAGGACCGTGGCTACGATGCCCCAACTCCTGGAGGCTATTCTGCTCCTACCCCCGGCGCCTACGGAAGCGCACCCACCCCTGGTGTTTCCGCACCCACGCCCGGAGCTTGGGCAGATAGTGCCCCGACCCCGGGTGCCTTCAACGCGCCCACCCCCGGCGACGCATCAAAGCGACCCTACGACGCACCTACGCCAGCGGCTTTCGACAACGCTGGCGGTAGTCGTCCATATGATGCTCCCACACCAGCTCTGGGCGGCTCTGCCGCGACACCAGGCGCAGGTGCATACGGAGATGGTGACGATGGCGGTCCGCGATATGAAGAGGGGACACCCAGTCCTTGATTTTGTTCAATGAAGAGAGGACAGAAGCAAAGATTCTGAATGATTGTGTGAAAATAGACAAAATGCGGGCGTATCATCTTTGTCTTTTGCTTGTTTTGTGCTTCATACGTTCTAATCACATCATATCATTTCATATCATATCCGAGAAGCATGGTTGTTTCGTTGGACAGATTATCCCTTTATATCGCTGTATTATGTGTATCATCTACTTACTACTACAATCCATCACTTACATATTCCATCTCATCTACATTAACAACCTAGTGAGACGCCACTTACTAACACCCTGAGAGAGAAAGAAAACAAAAAGAAAAAAGAAAAGAAATTTAAATATGCCACAAGAATATATCCTTTCCGCTTGCTTGTTTGCTTGCATTCGTTCCTTCTTGGCTTTTGAGACCTCAAATAGAAATACATAGTATAAAAACATGGCAAAGAAAGAGAAAGAGGAATTGCATGTGAAAACAAGTTCATGCAACCCTCTACAGTTGTTACCGATAAGTCACAAACAAAGCAAAGACATTCATCGACCATAGATAGATAAATTGCATGCGATCCGTCGTCCATTTTGTGTATCCGTGTTTATGTGCGAGAAAGGAGATAAAATAGATTCTTCAAGAGATGGAATGAAGAAAGAGGACACAAGATTGTCGTCGCAACCGAGTCGGCTAGGTAGGTAGGAAGGGGGGGTTTGGACAGAAACAATAAAGGGAATGAAATAACGTGGAAAGCAACAAGACTATGGCGGTACGGCACGTGCCAGAACACGGACATTGTCCACGAAACCCTTGATGAGTTCTTCATACTGGTTTTTAGGATCCCCCGTCATAGCCATTTGGCCTTGGCGGCGGATTTCGGCGGCGGAAATCTCGACTTCGAGTTCGTGTTCGAACTCGCCTTTGACTGGGGGCTGGAGTGAGGGAAGGGATGTTAGCATGTCATGTTTTTTCTTTATGGGGACGGGTTTTTGAGGGGTGCACACCTCTGATTTCGCAACCTGGGTTAGATCGATCTGGTATGCTAGATGTCGATAACTCATACGATCCTTGTTCCGGTCTCCGCCACGGCCACCCCTTCCATCGGCGACAGGCAGGTTACTAACATCGCCGTCGTAGCTCATTTCAAGGTTGACACTGATTCGCCAGTCGACACAAGTACGAGGGCTGTGTACGTCAAGGTCGGCGATGCGGCATTTGACGATCTTTGCGAGGACTTCGCCCGTTCGCTGATCGACGGTTACTCGCACCTTAGGTTTGTGACGCGGATTGAGGTTCTGTCGAATGACTGGCGGAAGCTCGTTGGGGGATACTTCGTAGAATGTATCCCTTTCCTTTTTGTGAGCGTATGAAAGTGGGATGCGGCCTTGATTTGATTGGGGCATGGACATTTTCACGGCTTCGTTCAGGAAATTGTTCATAGCTCGGTGTTGCGCCTTTGCGGAGTTAGATTGGTTATTACACATGAACTTGTGAAGGGTTACTTACCACGGTCATCGTGCTTTCAAACGCAGTCCTGAAGCGCGGATTATCCTTGTTCACAACACTCTCGGTCAAGATTGGCAGAACCATCCGCTCCCCACGATCCATGTCGATGAGTTGACCCAGCTTAGCTTCCACCTCGATGATAGGCATTTGACCCGCAGCGGCCGCCCCAGCAGGAGCTGCAATGGCGTCATTTCGGAGCACGACGTGTTGGAAAAGGAAATCAGCGACGATCTTGGTGACTTCCTCGTGCGGGATGAATCCCGTAATAGACGGTTCCCACGGCCCCAAGCTACCGACCTGTGGAGGTTCGGATGGCCGCTGCGGCGTCGAAGGTCCATTCACGGGCGTGGAGTCCCCTTTTACTTTAACTGGTGGAGCGACAGCAGCCACCGCTCCCTGCGCAGAGGACACGGCGCGTTGGCGCACGATCCAGGGGTTTGCCGGCGAGTCTCTTGCGTGTTTGGGAATAGGCGGGTGTGGCTTCGGAATTGGTGGGCATCTCCCTTTGGAGCGAGCACACTTTTGGGCGTAGATAGGCAGCTCGTTAAGTCTTCGCCGTTTTCGCTTGGGCTGTTGCGGGCTCGACGTGATGTTCGGGTCTGAAGCCACTCTAGTTTTTTGGACCCACTGGGCAGTTGAATCATCCACGGACGATTCCTTTGTGATGGACATTCTCGACGAGGGCGAACTGTTGATATGTTGCTGATGTGCGGGCGAATGCTGCGTAGTTTGGCCCTCTTTCATGGTGATCCCATTTTCAACGTGTTCTGATTGCGACATAGCTGTCTGGTCGGGACGCGCCGTAGCTGCTTCGGGGCGAGACCCGGGGAGGAAGGTAGTTCTGGGGCTCACACTTTCGTCCGACTCCCTTCTTTCTGAGGTGGAACTGTGTTTGCGCGGAGTCTGGTCAAATGTTCTTGATTCTGCTCGCGACGACCGCGCCGCGGCGGAGGGCGACACGTGCATGGCGGCAGCGGCAGCATCCGGGCCCACCCACGGACTGGAAGCTCGATTGGAGAGAGAATCACGACCTGAAGATTGGGGACGAACAGAAGATTGGGGCGACTGGTGGGCGTAGATAGCAGCAGCAGACCCTCGTGGTGTATTGGGAAGCGATCCTTGTGCCGAAGGGGAGAAATGTTGCGACGGATAAGGTTGTGCAGCACCTGTCGGGGAACTTTCCCTGGCATGGAATGAGTTGGAGGAATGAGAATAGGGGGTTATAACAGACTGGATGGATTGCGACCGTTGTTGAGCGACGGGGGACTGCTGCTGCTGCTGCTGCTGCTGTTGTTGCTGTTGTTGCTGTTGATTGTAAGCGACGGACGCGAAGGAGTCACGCGAGACGGAGGCACCGTAAGGAGGCGGGGTCGGAGCTCGTTGGGATGGCGCGCTCGGGATTATAGCCGGTGAGGGACGATATTGATAAGGTGACTGAAGAGAGCCGTAGGAGGAAGAGCGCTCGGGGGATGCATGGGATCGTTGCGGCGGCGGAGGGCCGGGAAAGGCTGACGGATAGGAGGATGAAGATGGCAGCTGGTCGCGCGGAGGATAGATGGGATCGGAGGAATCGCGAGGCGCTTGAGATGGCGACGGTTGTGGTTGGGATGGAGCGCTGGAGTTGCCAGCGCTCTCCGTGTTCATGATGGTGCGCAAGTCCATGGTGACAGCTGGCTAGAAAGCGACGACCTGAAGGTGTTGAGTAGCAAGAAAGAGGGAAGCTGCAGACTCCCTTTCACGATCACTCGGGGCAGCTGAACTTCACCAGAAAGCTCGGGAAGGTCACGAGAGACTGGCGAGGAATGACGGCATGAGGCAATCGCCGGTGAGTTGGCGATTTGAGGGGTGGAAGGGCGAAGGAATGAAAGAGCCGGGATGGAAGCCGAAGTAGAAGAGGAAGAGGAGAAGGGAAGAATGAGGAAAGCTGAATTGAAGGTCGAGAAGTTCACGTCGCGGGATCGGCACGTCTTCTGGCGTGCAATTGGCGGGTGGCCGATTGGCGGCTCGGAGCTCCCATAGAATGAATGCAGAGGCTGAAGAAGAAAATTTGGAGGGGAAGAAGAGGGATGAAGATGATGATGAAGGAAAGGAAATACAAGAACAGCCAGCTTGGAGTGCAGTGTAGTGAGGATGAGAAATGGTTCTGCTGGCCGCTGTCAGTCAAGAATTGGGGAAGAGACACATCACCGATAAGCAGCAAGTAGTCGTTAAGAAGCATTGAGTGTATAGTAGGTAGTAGTACTACTAAGTCCTGCTGCCTTCCGCCTTGATGTTGCACCGCTCTGAGTCCCATTGCGACGCTACCTCCACACCCATCTGCATTAAGTTCCTATGTCTTATTAAGAGGATTAGTACACATCAGAATCAAGCTGACATCTGGTGCAGCTCTTCTATGTTCATTATCGTGTTCTTTTATCGTGCCTTGGACTATGTCTCCGCCATTCAGAGCCGGTCCTTGGTTCTGTTCAAATCCGCGATACTGTACGATAAAAAAGAAGGCCGAGGTATCCCAAGTTTATTCATTCATTATTTCTTTCGAGTCAAATCCGCAGCTGCGCATTCCTCCTAGTAACTTATGCTTCATGTTTGTCAATGGTGCAGGTTGTATATAGATTGGCGAGAGTAGTAGCTATAGTATACCCGGCTTCTTCCACTCCACGTTTGATTTATCCACTTGTAAACGAGTATGAAGAAAAAAAAAAAAGCACAACCCAAGTGCCCCTGGAATACACCTAGGTACTCATTCGACTATACGCTAGTTCGTTTCATTCGTTCACTCATACCATGCCAGTTAACATCCCAAAAGTCTCTTTACAGCGTGAGGGGGATACCGAAGGTGGCAGCAAAATTCAAAGAAAAAGTAACGACAAAAAAGAAAAAAAGAAAACACATCAACGCGAGACGATGGTGTAGTATAAGATGGAAAACATGTCGTCTAAGGGTGCTTTTCTCCATGGCGCTACAGTGCCACTCCCCATAGTCCACGTCCACCGCAGACCCCGAGCCAGTCGCGCGGATGCCCGGCAGGCGTGGTACCGCCCTGCGGCGACCAGCTAATGTTCGACACTTCGTTGTCGCAGAGCCACACGGCGGCTGGACCTCGCTCACTGGGTGTCGCGGGCGTGCCCGCATTGTGCGGGACGGGAGGCATGGGAGGCACAGGAGCCGCATTGTGCTGGTTGATGAGGTCCCACAGAAGTACGAAGCAGTCGTCCGCACCAGAAGCCAGGACTCCGCGGCGGTTGGGCGACCACTCAACGCAGTTGATGGAAGAGCCGTGGCCCTTCAGTTCAAGAAGAGCCTGTCCAGGCTGCCGGACGTCTAGAACCCGGACAATGTTGGAATCTTGCGAGAAAGTGGCAAGAAGGTGGGAATCATGGGGCGATGCTATGAAAGTTAGCGTCCAGAGTCAATGGCAGCCAGCAAGCTCGACCAAATACATACCAGCGATGCGTAGTAGAGGCGGGGGCCATACGGGCTGGGCTTGCCCAGAAGGACTGCCATTGCCCGGAGTGGGGACTAGTGCATGTACCCGTTAGTGTACTATTCAGGTTTTGGTAAAGGAAGAATTGGCATTACCCTTCTCATGCTTCTCGGTGGGCGCGTAGATGATAGAACTATAATCTAGGCTGCGGAGATCGAACATGCGCACACTACCATCAGCGCCACAGCTGACAAAGACGTCCACGCTATTCGCACAGAATCGAACATCGTATACCTCTTTGTCATGTGCGATCAGCTGTGTCTTGGCGGTAAGGGTGGGAATATCCCAGATCGTGCAGGTGGTATCGATACTGGAGGTAATGATCAGACTGGGGGAAATTGTATTCCAGTCCAATGAGGTGATTGGAGCGGTATGCTCGGGTGACTTGGAATTTGAGAGCAAAGCCAGCGGCGACAGTTTCGCTGTCGGTGCGTGTTGGCTGGCCGACCGCGTAATGGAGTTGGAGCTTGGTACGGGTTGCGCCGTTGGCAGCGACCATAATCGCAGATGATCACCAGATGTGGCCAACAGATCGGTAGACTGTTTCTGAGATGATGGCGGCTCCCAGAGGATCCGTGTTACTGGATACGAATGGGTGGCCTCTGCGGTCTTCACATAGTCGAGTTTAATTTCCCCCGCAGCAGCGTCCGGCGTATCCGGGTCTGGTTGTGTCCAATGAGTATCTATAATTTGTATCTATTCCCCAGATTAGCACAATATGAAGCTGCGAAGATGACCAGCGGGAAGTGGCAGGTATATGCGTACGTAGTTGTGGTTGTCCTCTAGGTAGCTTCCCAAGGCGATTTTGCCCCCGAACGAGCTGGAGCTCCCCGTAATAGGCCATTTACACCAATCCATAGAATATATGGGCCAAGGAGCAATGTAGTTGCTATTGGTAGGTACCGGATTATCCCCGTTGAACGGTGCCATTCCGGAGCTGGTGATTGGGTCACCCAGAAGGTCTCCTGTCGGTCGGATGTCGGCTAGACCCAACGGCGAGTATTTTGTACCCTGGGGAGTATGGGGAGGATATGCAGAGCCAGGAGAGGAGCCTGGCTGTCTGTATTTTGGCTGCTCAAACCCTGCTGGGCTGGATCTAGAATGCCCGTGAGAGTTGACCATACTGGCGCGGGCATTCGGCTGCTGCTGTTGCGGCGTTTGCTGTTGTTGCGCAGACGGTGGCTGTTGTCCTGATTGTGATGTTGGCTGCATTGGGGTATTCAGCTCTGGTAGGGTTGGTAGCGCCGAAGGTGCAGTGTTGACTGATACTGCAGGTGGACGGTTGACGTTGCCCGGCTGAAGCGCTCCCGGGAGTACTCCGCTCGCGCCGCTGCTTCCACCACCACCATACTGACCCGGTTGTGACCCCAATGAATGAACGTTGATAGAAGGGACAGGGTTGTCTTGACCGGCGGGGTATTCGTGAGACATCGATTGTCGCTGCAGATTGGGGCCCGCAGATGGAATATGGAGCTCCTCAGGTCGACCGTAGCTTGTCGCCCGCCGAGAGTCGAAAGGCTGCGTAGGATTCGACATGGCAGCAATGGCCGAACAACCCGAGTCCTCAAGAATGAAAGGCGCAGTCCACCGCACAGCAGTTGGAGCTCAATGAGATTCTCGGATCGGGGTCAGACTCGAAGACGTAGGGCGATAACGAGGGTACGAGGACTATCCGGAGAGGGGGGGATTGGCGCTAGGAGCTCCGACTGCACCAAGGATGTGCTCGATCTGGATCATATCACGGGGGAGGAACGGTTAGGGAGTCAGAGAGACATCCTGGAGCTCGAACGAGGGAAAGGAATGCCTGCAGAAGAGGAGAGGGCCGAAGGGAGGAGCGATGAGGCAGCAAAGCGCCGCCGAGGGGAGTCTCGTGCCGCTGACTCAGCCACTCAGATCGCGGGGAATTCCTGCGCTTCTCCTTCCATCATCCATCAGAGTTGAAAGAAAGGGATCTTGTGTTGCGTTGCAGGACGGCAGATATTTGGCACCGGATCGCTAGGCGGGGATTTACACTCTTCTATCACACCAAAGCGTACATCGTGCGTTGTATAACCCTTTGACTTTATCGTCATCGCTCTGAAACTATACCCTTGCTGTGTTCTTCATTCTCTACTAAGCTCCACCCGTGAGCTCCCCCCTCCTCCCCGCAATATGGCTTCAGATCAACTTTCGGCCCTGCTTCTGCTGCCGCCACCCCCTTCGGCATCATTCAACGAGTTCAAGGCTGCATATGAGCCCGTCCTGTTGGGTGTCTGCACCAAGCTTGTCCGGGAACTCAATGGAGCCAATCACACGGCTATACTAGATATTGCGCTCTCTCTTCCTGGTCTCCTATCCCCCTCATGTCGGCCGCGCACTAGGGCATTTTCAAGCCTCCAGTCTCTTCTGGAAAGCATCTATAGGCTTATTGGGATTGTATGTGTTGAGCAAGGCATTGAGCTCGATGGTCCTGGTGGTATTGACCCCCGTGTGATCTTGCTCGATTACGACTCGGTCCAGACTGCCGTTACCAGGGACAATCCGTGTGACGGCCCTATCATTGACTTGCAGACGTTGGCGCGGTCTGGACGACTGTGGGATTACATATACTACCCGGATAACCAAGTAGGTCAGGGTCTAGCAACGGCCTTCAGTAGCTTCTATTCTGAGTCCAGGGACCCCAACGGCGGATCCATGAGCGCAATCCCAGATGCACCCAACTGGAAGGCTGCAGAATCCCTTTTGGTGATGGACGATAACCACACATCAACTGCGCATTACTCTGTGGCTGTAGGAGGCACTTTCGATCATTTTCACATTGGCCACAAGCTTCTGCTCACAGCTACGGCATTGGTATTGCAGCCTGCTGAAGACGTGGAGGCAGGTAATGTCCGGAAGATCACCGTCGGGGTGACAGGGGAAGGTTTGCTGGCGAAGAAGAAGTATGCTGAATATTTGGAAAGCTGGGACGAGCGATGCATGAGCACTGGGTCATTCCTCTCAGCCATCATGGATTTCCGTCTCCCAGAAACCAGTGCGCCGCGTATTGAACGGGAGTCTGGGTCTGGGCCCGATGACAAGTACATTCAGATGCAAATGCGGCCGGATCTAGTCTTCAAGCTGGTACAGATCACAGATCCTTTTGGCCCTACCGTCACCGACAAGGGAATTAGTGCTCTTGTTGTTTCTAAGGAAACTCGTGCAGGTGGGGGCGCGGTCAATGAGGAGCGTGCAAAGAAAGGCTGGGAGAGCCTGGAGGTGTTTGAAGTCGACGTACTACATACAGGCGAAGTTCCCACCGATGATGCCGAGAGCTTCGCGTCGAAGATAAGCAGCACGGATATCAGACGGCGTCGGATGGAGATGGCAACGGAATAAATTAGCGCAGTGAACTGGCAAAGCGTGCGGGCAGCTATGCGAACCAGTCGTCAAGCTCGAGAATCTAGACATTGACAGCTGTCCTGAAACGGCACAGGGCAGGCGTGCAGATATGGGGATGATTGGGCACGATGTGATCCTGTACATACAATGCCGGCATCACCAGCAGCCAGGGACAACAAAGCGAGTCATGCGTTAATCATATTGATTTTTGTGTGTCGCGATGGTGCTTCTTGATGAGGTGACGCGACGAGGAATGAGCTTCAATATTTTAAATGGGGTTTGTAAGATAAACCGTCTCCGCACTAATATGTGGTGGCCTACTTTCATTTTCTTCTCTTCTTTCTCCAACCGCCATTATTATATCTACTCCTTCCTAATTTCCGGGAGGTGTCTGAATGGCCTTATTATATGAATCTCTCTCTTTGAATGATGTCCTAAACCTAAACGCAATTTACCCCTGAGAAGGGTTCGGGATGAGTTGTTTTCTTTGTGCAAAGAGACTGGAGCAAGAGAGAAGAGAGAACAGACCACCACCCATCTTATCTCCCCGGCGTTTGGGATTGCGCCCTGGACTCGGGGGCTACTGGCCCAGAGTGTTTTAGGGGCTGATGATCCTTTCCCTCACAGCATCCCCACGCGAGGCTTTTCAATCCGGACCAACGCAATACTATTGTTGGCGATTCCGATCCAGTTCTGCAATCTCGATACCGTGCTGCTAACTAGTCCTGCTACTAGCAACCCCCCGGTTCGATGGAGCAGCTCCATTGCGCTAGGCGACGGAGATGGGGCAGAAGGAGGGAATAAATGCCGTGCGCAACTCGCCAGTCGCAAGCAGGGACGATCTAGGCTTGGGAACGACAGGCCGCCATTGATTCGCGTTCCAGGCGGGGTTCCCTTGCTTGCAGCAACTCAGTGGGCGTCTGTCTGCACGCAACAGACTCTCATGTCGCATCATTTCCCTCCCCTCCCCTCCCCCCCTCCCTCCTGCTGCTTCCCTTATCCCCGGTCCAGCCAGCTGTCGTCGTTCTTCCTACCAATCCTTTCGTCTTTTCTCCTAGATTCCCTCCTGCAGGTTCGCGCTGGATATCCGCATGCTGTTTCGATCATGTGACCCCTGTGTGGCAGCTCTCTCAGCCAATATCCAGTCGTCTGATCAACTGGGGGGTCCTCTAATGGTCCTGGCGAAGATACCCGGAGGTGAAACCCCCCCAGTCGACTCGAATGACGGGATTGGGGATTGTCGCGGTGGGACGCTCTAAGTCTTGTCAGACAGGTTCACTTGCTGCAAGCGCTCTACCTGTGGCCCGCCGTCTACTCTGCAGTCGATAGAGAGTGTGCTGGGAGTGTGAGAGGGGATGTATCACTTTCGTCCTTCCTTTCTCCAATTCTTAATTTCTTTTTCTGCTCTCCCTTTTTTTTATTTTTTTCTTTTTCGAACTTTTTGCGCCTCATTTTATTTTTGTGATTATGATCCTTTAAAAACCTCCCGGCTGTCTGCTGTCACTCTTTGCTCATTCTCTCTTCGATTCCCTGTCTTTATAATCAGTGTCATTCCCTTCCTGGTCTCCTCTTTCTTCTTGAACCTCCGACCTGGCGCATCGTTGTTTGCCATACCCTTCTCGTACCTGGACTGGTTTCCATGTTGGTGCGAGTGACCACAGCAGCCGACCACGCGGCTGCTTCGCTGTGCGAAAACCATGGAGAGACCTCGACACATTGAAGACTTGGCAGACGAGTTGATCAGTGATATACTTTCATACCTTCTGGGGTCAGAGTATCTGTCTCCCGAACCCTCCCCGACAAGTCCGCAAGGCTCGTCTCGCGACTCCGACAATGGCACGGCTCATGCTTTCGGCGAAAAGTCCGAGTTGGATCGTTTCAGACTTGTCTGCAGAAGATTCAAGCGGATTGGCACACCCCGGAAATTCACCAGTTTTGTACTCCGGTTTTCATCCCACGAATTCCGAAGATTGGAGGACCTTCTGAACATGCAGCTAGCCTGTCATGTCAGATATTTCACGTACATGGTGCGACCCTTCTACCAAGGAAGCGGTACCGTCTCTGAAGACCCGCCCGGCATGTTGCGAGCCTGAAGCTGACGATCATATAGGTTGGTCCCACATCCTGGATGGGGTCGATGTAGATAACCTTCCCGTTTCGTCCATCCACCGGCGTCGGCTCGATGACCAAAAATACATACTCGATTCAAACCTTGATTTACGTTTGCTGCGACGCGCGATAGCAGCATTCTCATCTCTACAACAAGTCAAGCTCCTCCGATTGCAAGATGAAGCAGACGAACAATTGCTAGACCACATACGCGAGCGCTCATTGGGAAGAACAACGCGTCTAGATTGGGAACCCGCCTGCACCAGAGCTATCACCAGCTTGAGCATCTCTTTACTCGAATCAAATTGTAACTCGGTGAGATTTGTCGGGCCGCAGATCAGCCCGGAAGCAACCGTGCGATTGCTGCAAGCCCCATCCACCAGTCTTTCCGCACTGGGCGCACGACTGGCGAGCTTAGATGTTACTTTCCACTCTGCAGCCAAGCTATCCACATACATGGAGACGCTGTCCAACGTCTTCCACGACTTCTTCCTGGCTGCCAAAAATCTCACAACCATTCATTTAGGCTTCCCGACCAATGCGCCACTGGACCTCGCGTTAGAGCAAATCTTCCACCACGTCCAGTGGAAGAGACTCCGAACCCTCAGCATCCAAGGCTGGCGCCTCGGCTCGGAAGAAATCATCGCCTTCATCCGTCGGCACAGGCGCCAGCTACGCAACGTCCGATTAGCCAGCGTCTATCTCCGCCCCGGTGGACGATGGCGCGAAGTTCTCACCGTCTTACACGACGAAATGGACCTCCTTGAACGCATAGACCTGCGCGGAATCGACTACACCAGTAACTTCGACGCCAACATCAACACCAATGCCCATCACAACGCTGACGCTGCCGGACCCGGTACCGGCAGTTCTCAAACGCCGACACTTGCTATCGTCGTACAACCCACGCCCGACATGGCCCCGCACAAGGCCTTCCTCAACATGGACTACTACTCGAACAGTGGCCCCCCAGGTAAAACTCGTCGCTCCTTTTCCGAAACCACTCTCGAACAGCTGCGCGGACATACGTCCGACGTGTTAGGAGACAACGGAGAGAGCGTAAGCCAAGACCAGAGGTTACTGTGGGAGGCATGGGTCTTGTCCAGTCAACGAAGTAATGTCCACAGAAGGGTTTAATGTCATGTCTTTACGAATCTGTTTCATTTTGCATATGTTAAGTTAATTGGTATTCTTTAAGCGATATGGAAAGTTAGGCAGTAGTATTCTAGTCGTAGGTCGGTTCCTAAGCAAGTAGGCTTGTGCATGTATACCGCGCTTGCTCCACAAAAGTCCGAACAAGCAAAAAGAGAAATCGTCAGTACTGTGGGTGGTAGTGTCGTATCTGCAATATCACCAACAGATCTGATGGTAAGCAGAAAGCAGACACAAACAACGAATGCATAATTAAATTCCACGAGCAGGGATTCATCACTGTAGAATTATTAACACAGGGGAAAGGAAAGAATATTGTAAGCACTTAGAAAACTATGTGAATTAATAATTACCATGAATGGACAATATACAAGAAGAAAGAGAGCAGAGAATACAAAAACAAATTCCACAAAAAAAAAAGAAAAGAAAAGAAAAGAAATCTATGTATTCAGTAGATATCAACCTTCTTCCTCCTCTTGCGGTAAAAAGGTACTATGTGGCTGTAGTAAGTGACTAGATAGACAAGATGGATAGAAATGACACAGGATCCCAATGATCAATGCAATAACACATCATCGTTCATCGTTCATCATTATTCTCCTCTCCCTTCCTCTCGCTTTCCTTTCTCCTATCCCCCTTAACCGCGACTGAACTGTACATGTATGTGAGTGATTTAAAATCTCTACGCGCCAGGCGGTGGAGCAACAGCAGTAGCAACATGATCGGCTGCGCCAGCAGGTTTAGTGTTGCGTTCCCGGAGCCTCCGACCTTCCATGAGACCGCGGAGACCGCGCTTCTGAAGACCGATGACGCTGCTGAGGTCTCCGGTCCAGATCTCGCGTTCGGGACGGAGTTCTGCGTCGGTGTTGCGGCGGTGGTGGGACGGACGGGTCGGGTCGCCGCCCATTTCGGAATCGGAGTGGTCGAAGCTGGTGTTGGTGGAGGCTGAGGTGGAAATGCTGGCATTGCTCATGGAGTCCTCGCGGTCCCGGTCTACGCCGGCGTTGCTGCGGTGCCGGCGGCTGAAGATGTTGGTGTTGATGCGGAGGGGGATGCCGCGCGAGCCCATGACGCCGCTGGCGCTGCTGGCAACGGAGAGGGCGGAGGTGCCGTGTTCGGTGTCGGAGGAATCGGAGGTGAGGTGGCTCTGGGAGGTGGTGGTTCCGGTACCGGAAGAGGATTCGTGGCCGGCGTGGGCGCCGTTCAGCGCCTCCAGGGTGCCGCCGGGGCCACTTGTGAAGCCGGTGCCTCGGCCACCGCCGGCGGCCATTGCGGCAGCGTTGAAGACGGCAGCGGCGTTTCTTCCGTCGAGAACTTGGTGGAGGCGTTCGACGGTGGCTTCGAGGAGGCCGTCGACTTGGTAGGGACGGGCGAGTTGGAGAAGGGAGCAAAGGATTTGTGGGGTGCAGAGGGGTGAGCCGGCGGGGGGGAGAGACGAGGTGTAGAAATAGTAGACAAGAACTTGAAGAGTGAGGACGGTATGGGGGAGGTAAAGCACACGAGGACGAGAGGTAGGGGAAAGGCTATGCGCAGAGGGTATCTCAAGGTTCGCTAACAAGGACTTTGAGGTGACTGAGCGGTTGCTGACAAGAGTGCTGGAATTGGAATACGTGCTGTTTTGCCCCAGTGACGGGGTGATGGTGATGCTCGAGTTGCGACTGGGATACATGGCAACCGCTGGACGTAGTGTGGCAGTCTCGGCGATCCCGCTATCACAAGACTCGCGTAGAAGCTGGATGAAATAAGGACCCCATCTGCGAGTCAGGATGCGTGAGTTCACCGGGATGCGCTCACCTCCGACTGCCTGCAGCTCCATATCGGCCATTTCAGGCAGAGACTGGGCAAGTCTGCCTAGCTCGTCAGACGCGGAGGTGAACGGCCTTCCGCCGGAGGTCAACTTGGTCAATTTGTGCTGCATGGATGCAGGGACTGCCGGAGAACTGTACGAGATGTATCCCGATGTGGGCGTGGTCCGGCACGCGTTGTTGTAGAGCCCAAACGCTTCCAACTCGACCATACATACGTGGGAGAAGTTGATGCGACGATGGTTGTAGTCCTCAACCAAGCTGCGCTTCCGGTGGCCCAGAATGACAAAAGTGTTTCTTCTTGGCCACAAAATTCCACGGTTCCAGCTGCCATGGCCGAACACAGACCCGCCGGCATCGATCCGACCCCAGGTAAGGGTTCTCAGGTCGAGGGCCCAAAGCGCATATTCTTGCTTCGACGAGGTCAGGTAGGTTCCGCTCACGACAAAATGACCGTTGATGACTCCTCCGTTGGGGAACCTCAAGCCAGGAGGCGACGCCTGGCTCTGCATGGGCTTCTCGATCAGGCGGCCATCTGGGAGGCGCACCTGGAGCTCCAGCTTCACATCCAGGAAGTTGTAATTAGAATAGACCAACATCGGACACCCCTCGACCTGCGACTCTTCCAACGGCTCCTGTGCCTCCCCATCGTCTGCGGCAGACCCAATGTCGGAAACATTCATGCCTACCAAGGGAGCGACCACACTTCGGTAGGCACCGCAGCTTCGCCCCAGGTGAGTGGTACTGGTCCACTTGAGGCTCCGTAGGTTGAACACACTAATTTGTTCGATGTAGTGGTTTGAGCTATCTTGCCCTCCTACGACCACCATCTCCGCTCCTCCAAACCCGTCGATATCCACCCCAATCGATCCCTGGTGCGGATTTGACGAGGCGGGATTGTGATGGATTGCAGAGAGTGGAGCAGTGGCGGAGGTGAAATGGGCGCTCGAAGGCAAAATGGTCGCGCAGTGCGCATAGCGTCCCTGTGGCGAGTCTGTGGCAGGCACACGGGTCCACGTCCGAGATGGTACATCGAAGATATGGATATCAGACATGACCACCACTTCTGGCTGTGCTTCCTGTCCACCTGAGCCATTACTGGCCGGCTCCTTTGATACGTTCAGTGCGGGCGACATGCCGCCATAGCACACCAACTTGTGATCACCCAGAGCGCAGACACTGTGAAAGTACCGCGGGCGGGGGATATCGCCGGTGGTCTCGATCTTCGTCCAGTGACGCCGGATCAAGTCCAGCTCGTATATGTCCGACGTCAATTGCGGGCGACTTTTAGACAGAACACGACCACCGAACACGTAGAGCTTATCGCCCAGGATAGTCGTGGTTGCCCCGACCAACGGATGCGGTTCCCTGCCAGTTGTTCGGCGCACATTGCACACCAGACCTGACAGATTGATGGGACCCGAGTTGGACGGTGGCGCTTGATGTCCAGGTTGAGCGCCTGGCGCAGAGGGATCATCCCTCCCCGCGTCCATGAAGCCCAAGCTCGACTGGCTTCTGGACATCATCTTGGCGGTATATGAATCCTCCACCTAGAAAATTCCACAGAAACCGACTTTCGTCCTTCCACTCGTACTCCCAATCAAACTCTCATATAACCGACTGTGTCTGCGTATCCAAAAAAAAAAAAGAGAAAGGTTGTCTTCCAAAATCACGCTGTTTCCAACCCTCGACGACTTATCTCTGGTATGGCGCTAAAGGGATCTCGATTCGACAGGGTATCATCACAGCCGTATAGCACGACTAGGCACGGATTTGGACAAGTGAAGCCGCACGGGCACGATAGGAGAGCGAAACGAATGGCTTTGGGGCGATCTTCGACGTCTAAATCGGACCGGGGTAGTGCGACCAGATCAGGGGCGGGCGGAAAAGGCGAAATCCGTCAGAGCACTCGCTGGCTTTCCCCGCCGCTGCCGCAACCTAGACGAGGGGAAGAGGCAAGGAGGTGCACCAAGAGGCTCTTGACTCGAAGAATAAGTTGCTGCGAGGGATGAACCACCGACCACGTCACTGAAGCCCGATCGAGGAAACACGATTGAAGGAAAGGAGAAGGACGGGGGGTTGGAGGTGAAGTGCGGGTTCAAGGCGGTCTCGCTACCTTGTCACTAGACTAGTTGGCGGTTACCCGTTAAACGGTCCAGGCACTACTGGGTCAGATCACGGTGGAGAAAAGTGTCTAAAAGGGAGGGTTTGCAGAATATGCAACCCAACCCTGGGAAAGTCAATTCCTCTGACAGGTCAAACTCAAAAGCGAGGGAGGGTGCGAGCCTGTTTCAGAGTTGAGGTATCAGCAACTTGGAGGGAAGAACCATGATGTCAAACCAGAACGGGAGATTCCTCTCGCCAGATTAGTTGTTATTTATAGCACACTCGGAGGTCCTGTCAGGGTAGCACCACCATCATTCAATTGCTCACGCTTCTCTGGCTAGGTTGTCGGAACTCAGCTATACAGCTTTGCTTCTGGGGGTGGAATATCCTGTTTGACAGTCAAAGGCTTGCGACGACGATTAAAGAACACGCCGATGCACCTCATTCTAAAGTACAGTCTTTTGGTCCCCTGTGATCGGTTTAGAGCCTCGGCCCCAGGACGGTGCGAACACATACTGGAAAATTTAATTAACTGAGGGTGGGAAGAAGGGGGGTAAGCACGAAAAATCTGACAGTCTGACATCTGCATGCCATTGTGTATGGTACTCAACACTATGCCTTGTGACCCAAAAGGTTACGAGGCTCAGCGACTGTCGAATGACGGATGATTGTACACATTCAGCCGACTGATATTTGCTCTTCGCATGCTCACCCCCTAATTAGCAGTCTATCTCACCTTCCTACATTCTCGGGGTATCCACGGGTTTTTATTCGAGGCACGGCACAGGCGACGCATTCTGCCCTTTTGCTGGCCTTTCAGCCGTTCGCGACCAGGGTCATGTTGCATGTGTTCTCATGCAGGACGGAACTCCAGCTCCATATCGCCACTCGACGGGGCCAGACTACTGTTGATCATGCTACCAGTCGCTCTGTATGGACAGCGACAGGATCCTCTAAGGTGCGCCATGCAGGAACCAAAGCATCGCAGACGTGGCTCCTGCGTGGAGATCCCAACACGCAGAATCATTATTTACGTTTCTTACTAGCCAAGGCAGGGGAGGGCTTTTCCCTTGGTCATATCTTTTGGGGGTTGTTAATCGATTTGTTTGTCATGAGGTATCAAACTATTACACATCATAGCCATAACTTTCATACCGCGTTCCCTCTACCGACCCCGTCACAACATCTTTTTTAAATCATGATCGGTACGCCACCCCTCTGTGTGAGGTTCAGTCGACGATGATCGGGCGGGCTATTGTCATTATATGCCTTAATTTACTCCTTCTTGAGGGAGGTGAAGCGAAGGTAACTGGTTCATCACGTTAGCGACCGTAACATCTCTATAAGTTTGGGCTTTGAAGGACAACTCACGGCTTGACAATGCGGATGTCGCCGAACTTCTTCTGAGCGTCCTCAGTGGAGACGGGAGGGGGGATGACAACGTCGTCACCAGGGAGCCAGTTGATGGGGCAGGTGACACCGTGCTTGTCAGTGGTCTGCAGAGCGTCGACAACACGGAGAACCTCGGCGGTGTTACGACCAGTGGAGGCGGGGTAGGACATGATCAGACGGATCTTCTTGCTGGGGTCGATGATGAAGACGGAGCGGATGGTGAGAGCCATGCCTGGAACATGTTAGCAGGGTCCTCATGGCGTCACTTGGGAAGTATAGAAGAGCGTACCCTTGGCATCAACGTTGGTGGTGTCCTGGTAGTCGACCATGTCGTACAGGTAGGCAACCTTGCGCTCGGGGTCGGAGATGATGGGGAACTTGAGGTTCGAGCCGTTGACCTCATCGATATCCTTGATCCAGGCGTGGTGGGACTCGGTGCCGTTGGCGCTCAGACCGATGAGCTTGACGCCACGAGCAGTGAACTCGGGCTCGAGCTTGGCGAAAGCACCGAGCTCAGTGGTGCAAATGGGAGTGAAGTCATCCTATACCAATTGCAAGTAGTGTTAGCCAGCCGTCTTCCTGGCTATGCTGGTTGTGTTTATAACGCGGCTGGGAGAGACTAACGGGGTGGGAGAAGAGAATAGCCCAGCTGTTGCCGATGTAGTCGTGGAAAGTGATAGGACCGTTGGAGGAGTCGGCCTCGAAGTTGGGGGCAACGGAGCCGAGACGGAGACTGAGAAAGTGGCAGGTCAGAATCGAGCTGAATGAGGGGATATGGAGTGTTAGATAGCACTTACGGAGCACGTTCCTGAGCCATTGTGAAAGTGAAGGGAGTTGTAGAGGGGTGGGTATGAACTTTTTCAATTAGAATGGTAGAAGAGAAGGATGAGTAGGAAGCAAAAGAAGATGAATGCAACGGAGGAAGCTGGAAGTACTAAATATACCCCGATGAGGCCCGAGGTCGGGGAACCAAGAGACGAGGAGCCCGTGAATGGAACGGGGATGGAGCTACGAGGCAGAGGGGGACAACATCCACATTGAACCCGAACCACAGCTTGGATGCCCCTCCAACGAATGACAGCCGCTGGGCAGGCGATCCCGATCACGCAATCTGCCACCGCCCACGGGGCAGAACAGCCCTGATTGGACCCGCATGAGCTCATTCCAGGTGGGATGTTTAGCGCCGGCCGCATTGGGAAATGCCCCTCCCCCTCCGGGATCTTTTTGGAGAGAAGGAACCTGAATTCCAAGGCGAGATTGGGATTCCCCAAGGCACGAACCACTGACCTTAACTCATGTACCGTCCTCTAGTTCCGGCACTGTTCCTAAAATATAGGAGGAGACGAACCGTGCGAGGCCAGGCCTCTTGTTCATCCTCCGCTTCTACTCTTCCTCTGTAGATAGTTATTGTGATTACTATCTATATCATCATCCAAATCAATGTGGTGCCTACTACCACATAATTACTGCTGAGTGCCCAACTCTGTTCGTTCGTATCTGCCGCTTGCTAGCGTTTCAACTCTCTTCCCTCCCGAGAGCTGTCGGCCGACTACCTTGCAAGAAAATGGCTCGGCCGACAATCTTGTTCTGTTGGGGCCAATGGTGATGTTGAATGATGGCGCAATTGTGCGTGCCATCTTACCCATCTTCCCGGTGACTACTTGATCTACTACTGTTTGCGCACGATTACAGTAAGTGATGTCCGAGCTAGAGGGCCATCGCAAGAAGCATCTACAGAAAAGGGGTTTGCCATAACGTCGCATACATAATCACTCAAGTCTCCCAGAAAGAGCTCCTAGGGGTATTTACCAAGAACGACTTAAGGTCCACTCATCCCTGTGTGAGATCCTGACGAGGAGAAAGGTAGGTGCCCAACTTGTGCGTGACCTTGGATTTAGAAGGGGGAACTTTGTCTTGACTTGATCGTATAACGGCATCACGGGTTATGAAAATGGGGGATGGATGTTGTCTGAATTCATGAATTTCTGTTGCAACAAGAGAATGACTTACCGTGTTTTGGATGCCGCCGTACAGTCATTGCCGGAATGCCATGCTCACTTGGTACATTAGCTTACCCGTTCGGAAACGTACATGGCGAACTCTGCTCGTTTGAAAGATCACTTGATCATTGAATATGGCGCTTTCCACCGACAATTTTATCAGTTTTGCTCTCCCAATCAAAATGACCATACTCTCCTCTCCAGGGACCAATCTGCTTACAATCTCTCTGGGACAGTCAACATATCGCGCAAGTCTGGCAAATAGTTCAATTCTCCCAATATATCTCATTGACTCCCCACCCGCAGATGAATATTTGATCCTGATATGTTCTGCAAGAGATAGAGCAGTGGTGTTTGGCCGAGTGGTAACTCTGTGCAACATTTACTCTGCTCAAAGTGTACAGTCCGCATCAAAGTATACTTCTGGAGCTTGCCCAACGGATCACGCCGACTCTCATCTCGGGAAGGTGAATGATGTCCAATGACGGGAAAAGAAGATTTTTTGCGGAACAAGAACTACGAACCGATTCAGATCGTCTATACATGGCATATACTACCTGATCTCCGGTCGATGGCAATATAACCCAGGTACCTGCTCCTAGTCTTACGAACTTGAGGCTTCGGAGGCACGGAGTGGATAGACCACGATTTGAGAGAACCTGTCAACTTGGAAACGACATTCCTTTGAACTCACTTGTTTGTTAGCTCATCGCATTGGCAAAACAGTACTGAAGAGTTGAGATGCACATAGGAGAAGTCACTTCACAGAAATCCAGTATTTTTGACCTATTACTAGAGGAGATCTCCGAGAACACAGTGGCCAATCATAATGTTGAAAGATCTCATGAACTGTAATCGGCATATTAGGCAGTATGGTTGGACACTAGTGGGATCATTATTGAGATGGTGCCTAATAGTTGGTGTAGCAGGTAGTACAGGTTGAGAGCTAGGCAAAATCACGGTTATGAGTGGCCTACACAAAACAAACAGTGATTGTTGACGGCACGAGCTTGCTAGCAGTGAGGTGCATCAATCTAACTGACAAGGTAGCACAATGCCCTCAAATTATGACAGGGGTATATATACTGCGTGGATTTTAATTTTCCAGGCTGTTCCTGCGCCTACGGAGTAATAATAATAATTATAGTTTGTTCGGTGAGGGTACCTGAGTCTCCGCGAGCACGTCCACGTGACCCCAGCGGAGCGCCTAAGGGGGCTCCACCGCGCGTCCCGAGAAGCTCGACCCGTCCACTCGTCCGCAATCAGAGCTTCACCCATCGCGGTCCTGTTATGATTCTTGCCCAGTGCGTGCCTAGAACCGCGTCTTGTCGTGTCTAATTGTTCCTTTCGACTGCCGGAAGACACAGTTGGTCCGTACCTTGGTTAGTTTCCGTTGCTAACCTTTGTGAACACACATTATCTCATCGGTTCCTTCATAAGCTTTCCTATACTGGATTGACTGACTGGCTGGCTTCCACACTTCTAGGCGCGCCTGGATCCTCGTGTCCCAACTCCCCCAGCGCCTCCCCGCTGGCAGGCTCCTGACTGGCTGATCCCTTTGTTGTCTTCATCTACTCTTGTCCTTTCTTGACCCTCCATTCGATCTTTGTTCCGTCTCCCTCTTCCCTCTCCCCAAAATCTCCCGTGGATCTTATCGCGCAGATAAATATCCCCCCATCAACCTATCAACCAGACATGGCACCCCAAAGGAAACGCAAGTCGGAGAGCGCGCCAATCGCCGAGGAAACCGAGTCACCTGCTGCGAAGAGAGTGGTAAGCCTTTCCTATCTACAAATTCGCCAATACTACCCGCGAGGTAGCGCCTATCAAACCAGTCGGCCCGTCCAATACGCGATCGCCGCCCACTGGCTAATCACGGTGTCATTCACGTCTCTTCTCCAATGATAGGAAGCATCGATGTTACATCCAATGCACGAACAAACGATTATGTTCTCCCAGTTTTACGTTCAAGCAATACTAATCATTTCTTATTTACATAGGCCGCGCCCGACACACCGGCTACCGGAGAAAAGAGAAAGAGGGGTCGTCCCAGGAAATATCCTGAGGGTAGTACTCCCAAGCGCCCTGACGGCCCCAAAAGAGGCCGTGGTCGTCCTCGTAAAGATCCGAATGCCCGTCAGTTCCCTCTTCGTCCCATAATTATCTCTGATGCTCTTACGGACAACGCCCACACGATTTCTTCTGTCATTCCATCCTCCTATCAACGATGTGTTCGGTATGATATTATCTACAGCATTTGCTGACATACACCAGCTACTCCCGCAAAATCTACAACCCCCAAGCAGGGCAAACGGGGCAGGCCAAGGAAAAACCCGATCGAGAATGGAACCGAACCTACCTCATCAACAACGAAACCAGAGACGATCGATACCACATCCTTCGAAGGACGCTCATACTGGTTGATGAAGGCCGAACCGGAATCGCGATTAGAGAAAGGTGTTGATGTAAAATTCTCCATTGATGACTTGGCTTCTCGCAAGGAGCCGGAGCCATGGGACGGTACGTTTCCATAATAGGGCCTTGAATGATTGATATGTCTGCTGATCACCCAGTAGGTGTGCGTAACCCTGTTGGTAAGTGAGACCATTGGCGGTGGCAAGCTAGCCTTCTGGCTTACAAGCGACATAGCACAAAAACATATCCGTGACATGAAGAAGGGTGATCTCGCCTTCTTCTACCACTCCAACTGCAAAGTACCAGGCATTGCGGGTATCATGGAGATTGTCCAGGAGCATTCACCAGATGGTTAGTCCTAACACGAGCCCTTTCTGGAAAAGACAAGGTCAGCTAATACGGCGAGCATGTTTAGAGTCAGCCTTCGACCCCGCCCACCCATACTACGACGAAAAGTCGAACCGAGACGATCCCAAGTGGCAGGTTGTGCACGTAGAGTTCCGGCGCAAGTTCAACAAAATGATTACGCTGAACGATCTCAAATCATATGCACAGTCCGAGCGGGCTCTTGAAAATATGCAGGTGCTGAAGCAGTCCCGGCTGAGTGTGACGCCAGTAAGCGTCACAGAATGGGCGTTTATCATGCGGGTAGCGGACGAAAACGAGGCCAAGGCAAATGCCGAAGCTTCCAAGGATGACAGTGCCGAGGGCGACGAGCCCGAATCAAGCGAGTAAAGGATAAAGCGATTTTGTTGTGTTGCAGGGCTTCTGGGATGATCAACTTACTCTTGTGGGAATTCGACACGCGCATTTTACTCTGTTATGTACAATCAAGGGATTTTCTTTCGGTGCAGCTGATGGTGCGGTGGAGTCACGTAGCAGGCGGGTTACAACGGCAGCTTGTTTGGATGACATGTCATGATTCTGACCGGGGATGCTTTTATATTGCCACTAGTTGACGCATTATAGGCCTTGTAAACTAGCAGATCCCCTGGCGAGAACATACCATACCTTCTAGACTCGGCAAAAAACATCTGTGGCTGTAGCGACGCTTTGTGTCTTGACGGTTATCTGTCGTGCAACAAGTCGGAAATCCATCACTGCTGGCGGTAGAAGGATTGTCAACTGCTTCTGAATATCCGCGACAACTGCAACCTATTATTGAGTAATCGGGGAAGCGAGGGGTTTATGGCGAGGATTCGGGGAGGGGCGACCAAGCTGGAAGACCCGGAAGAACCATGATTGGGGATGGAAGATGCAAGCTGCATGCACATGAGGAGGGGAGAGCAGGTGGTCCCGCTAGATGAGGGAAAGAAGTGCGGAGGAGCTGCAGAATCAAGCTTATCAAGCTGAGGTGATTAGTTTACTTCGCCGGTGGAGTTGCTGACCCAGAGATTGGAGACGCCGGCGAAAGGATGGGATCCAGAAGAGTAAGTGTATGCGAAGAGGGGCTGCCCGAGCACCGCCGCGTCTCCCATTCGCTCTTCCATCCTTCGCTGGCGGGGATGCTTCATCCGGCTTCCCATCAACCAACTAATCCCCCTCAACCCTCTCCTTCAGCTTCGTCCCATACATAAAATCTCCCCCTCAATGCCCTTCTCCTCCTTCCCCGCTCCCTTTCGCTGTCTTTCCTTCTCCTCTCTGCGGCTGCGTGGTGTGTCATTCTCCCGTCTGCCAGTTGTTCCTTTCTCCCCTCATCGTCATCACTTCCATAGCTCGTCCATCACAATGAGCGATCTGTCCGTGCAGCTGACAGCCCCGAATGGGCACACATACGCCCAGCCGGTTGGTTTGTTCATCAACAATGAATTTGTCGCTTCCAAGTCCGGCGAGAAGTTCGCCACCATTAACCCTTCGTACGTGACCTCCCGATCCTAGTATCTTTTTTGGATCTGCTGCTGACCAGTGCTAGAAATGAAGCAGAAATCACCTCGGTCTATGCTGCGGGTGAAGAAGACGTGGATATTGCTGTGAAGGCTGCCCGGAAAGCCCTCAACCACCCGTCATGGAAGTTGTTGCCTCCGACTGAACGGGGCACCCTGATGTTGAAGCTGGCCGACTTGGTCGAGCAGCACAAGGAGACGCTTGCCGCCATTGAAACGTGGGACAATGGTAGGGAGCCTCGCAATTTTCTCAAAGGCGATCGATCGTCATGTACTGATTCTCTCCAGGCAAGCCATACTCCGTTTCGTTGAACGATGACCTGGGAGAGGTTGTTGGCTGCCTCCGGTACTATGCTGGATACGCCGACAAGGTCCATGGTCAGACTATTAGCACCACCCCGGCCAAGTTTGCCTATACTCTTCGTCAGCCAATTGGTGTCGTGGGTCAGATTATCCCCTGGAACTTCCCTCTCGCGATGGCTGCCTGGAAGTTGGGTCCTGCCTTGGCCTGCGGAAACACCGTGGTTCTGAAACCGGCTGAGCAGACTCCGCTCAGTGTTCTCTATCTTGCCAACCTCATCAAGGAGGCCGGTTTCCCGCCAGGTGTTGTCAACATCCTGAACGGCCTTGGACGCGTAGCTGGAAGTGCGCTCGTGACCCACCCCGGGGTGGACAAGGTTGCCTTCACAGGTTCGACGTTGACTGGCCGCGAAGTTATGAAGTTGGCTGCAGGCACCCTGAAGAACATTACGCTAGAGACAGGTGGCAAATCTCCCCTGGTCGTCTTCAGTGATGCCGATATCGACCAGGCTGCCAAGTGGGCGCATGCGGGTATCATGTACAACCAAGGACAGGTTTGCACCGCCACCTCTCGTATCCTGGTGCACGAGTCCGTCTATGACAAGTTCGTGGCGCTCTTCAAGGAAGCCGTGGCCAACACCAGCAAGGTGGGCGATCCCTTTGCCGACGACACCTTCCAGGGTCCCCAGGTCACCAAGGCCCAATACGACCGCGTGCTCTCCTATATCGAAGCTGGAAAGTCCGAAGGAGCGACCCTGGTGGCCGGTGGCGAGCCGTTCAAGAACGTCGGCGACGGCAAGGGTTTCTTTATCGCGCCCACCATCTTCACCAACGTCAAGGATAACATGCGGATCTACCGGGAGGAGGTTTTCGGACCATTTGTCGTGATTTCCAGCTTCTCAGAGGAGGATGAGGCTGTGAGACGGGCTAACGATACGACCTATGGACTGGGCGCTGCCCTGTTCACCAAGGACATTGAGCGTGCACACCGGGTTGCGTCGGAGATCGAAGCGGGCATGGTCTGGATCAACAGCAGCAACGACAGCGATATCCGGGTGCCTTTCGGTGGTGTGAAGCAGAGCGGAATTGGGCGCGAACTTGGCGAGGCCGGTCTGGAGGCCTACTCACAGATCAAAGCGGTCCATGTCAACTTGGGAACGAAGCTGTAGGCGAGCGCAAGTGATGGCGAATGAATTGCAACCGTGATCTGTGGGACGAGCCTGGTAGGACGAACACATACACATGCATCCGATGGACCATTGTGTTGATGGCGCTGCATGAAGGAAAAGAGAGATGCTATGTGGCTCTGCGACATTGGCTGCACGTCGTGTACCCGATGACTGACATAAAGTTGGTGTGTTGTTGCCAACTTGACTATACCCTGAACTGACAAAAAAAATAAAAATTGTACCATAATTCGACCATGTCAACTGGCAGGCAGGCTACGTGAATTTGAGCCTGAGTGATCTTTCACATTCCCCTTTTAAGCCGTAGTGTAGCACCCAACCCACCACAAACAAACCCTTTTTAGCCTAGAGGACAAGCCCAAACGTTACACATCCAGATACCAGATCTCACAACATATATACCAAGGACGAAGCACTCGCTTACCTGTCTCCATACAGTACCAACGAACTCATACCCACATCAACATCAACCTGCACGTCCATCCATATGCACATAAGTATATACCATGCACATCACCCAACAACCAAGGCACTTACCAAATCCAACCACTTCAACCAGTCATCAGATGTTAAGACAAACAAAGCAAAACCCAACAGTCAAAATCCAAATCCAGTTTCAAACTCATACCCTGCCATCAATCAATCAGTCAATCAACTGTAATTGTCACCTTATCCCCCGCGCCAGACCCAAAACAAACCCTTTAGAAGCAGAAAGCATGGGTACCTGACCTGACTTACCACATATACTTACCTACTTTGCTGGCTCACTTACATTGCTTTATAGCATCCCAAAGATGAAATAGGGATATCAAAGCGATTGGACGAGAGACAAAAAAACCAAAGTGAAATACAGTTGGGATAGAAATTGCGCTTGCTTTGCTTACATGTAAGTATTTTAAATCGTTGGCTTAAGGTGACTTGCAAGTGTTGGGGAAGTAAGGGGGGTAAGTGGGCGGGTTTCTTGGCTGCTGAGAGTTTTGTACGTGCATGCAGTACTGCCACAGTAGTTGAAGTACTTGGTAAGTAGAGTTTATATGTGAGTTGTAATATGTATGAAGTATGTAGGATGTAAGTGACAACTCAGCCAGTGCTTCATGCATATACATGTACATACAAGTAGGTTTTGTGGAATATCAGTCTAGATGATAATTATTTGTTACACATTATAATAAAATAAAGAAAGTAGGTTTGGAATGGCGCTGGGGAGAGAGTAGTAAGAGATTGTGGGAGTGACATACATAATATATGTGGTATGTGCGTTTGCTGCATGTCGGTAGATATCCATTCCCCAACTTACTTGCATTGCATGCGTGCAGGATTAGTATATACTTTGGGGTTGATTTGGATTGATCGGTTGTAGAGTCTGGTTGCATTTTAATGATTTATGAATAAAGATAATTAATATCTGGATTTTGGGGTGGGTTGAGCTATTTGGTGAGTAAGTAGGTCCTGGTTTCATGGTCCATGTTTTTTTATATATGTAAATATATTTTTCAGTCCGACATAGTAGTACTCTGAATAAATAAAATGATTCAAGTCTAAAGGCAAATTGTACATGCAAGAATACTATTAAATATATATTTATATATCCTACTACATAACTACTTATCACAATAATGACTATCCATCATCTCAATTGGACTTATACCAACAACACCCCGCGCCTAACCACATCAGGAAACACAATGCTCGCTTCGAGCTTCTCCTTCTATCTGCATGATAATCTGCATACCACAACATACAAATGACATGACACACAGTAGAAGCTTTCAGTCAAACAGCAAACAGAACTTAACCCAACCAAGCATAGAATAAAAGCAACTTGAAGAATATCTTCCGATGAGGACTCCCAAAGAAACTTTCAAGCCAAGTTATGCATGTATCATCTCGAACAGGTTCATGCCGTTTGATTCGTAATACCTCTAACATAACTTGCTTACTGCACTGTGTAAGTTGTTTGTGTATGCTGCATGAAAGCTACATCCACACGTACATATATGTATGTGTGTTTGAGTGGCGTGGTTGATTGATTGATTGATTGTTTGTTTGTTTGTTTGCTTGTTGGGAGTTGAAGAATGAAGTTTCCACTATTATTACTGGGTTTGTCTATTTATTATTAGTAGTAGATAGTAATAGTCTATTATTCACTGCGGGTAGATACATGCTAAACACTAACTCTACCAAGCAAACTGATAACTGTTAGTTACTTTAGCTGCTAACTATTAAGTTTATATTAAGCCTCGGTATTAGGTCATAATCAATGACCGATATATACCCACCAACAACATGGATGATGAACACTAAGGCCAAGTATCATACATCATAGTAGCATAGCAAACACAATTAATTAAACTCAAACAGTTGTTTGTTCCACCCACACATAACTTTCAGTACATAACTGTTTACTTACTACTCAGGATAAACTCGCACCTAGTTGTCACTACTACTCAGCAACTTCAGCAACTCCCACCGACACTAATGCCAACACACAGCAAGCACCACACACCTCCCCCTCAACCTAATGCAAGAAATACCCAAAAAAGCCACATACATAAAGCCAATATCCAATGAGCATCAGCCAAGCGTCAAATATTTGTTGAATTCACGTGTCCGTGCATCGTCATTGGTAGAGAGGGGATGCCATGTGCAGGTTAGGTACCTACCAGGGTGAACTACTAGTAGAGGAGAGATAGGCAGAAGGGAGGATTTGGTTTCTGGGCTGGCTGGCTGGCTGGGCTGGGGCTAGCTAGCTGCATTGCGAACGTAAGAGCCATGTGTTGTGACTACTGTCGTGGCGGATTGCGACTGGGACTGGACTGGAACTGGGGTCGGGCTTACAGGAATTACTTTACTTTACTTTACTCCTAGTAGGTGGTTAGCTGGGTGGGAGCATGCTGGGCATGGGTTTGTCGGAGTTGCTGGCTCCGGGGAGAAGGAAGAGAGAGAAAGGATGGGGGGGGTTGTCTGGCTGATCAGGGTTGATCCTAGGCTGTAAGTGGTCTCCCCCAGTCGCCACATGAGTGGGATTGCTCAAACACTTGCATACACAGTCTGTTAGTCTCTCTCGTTCTCCCTCTTTCTCTCTTTGTTCAGAGTCTCCTCAACCTGGTAAAGGTACTTGATAGTAGTTAATATGTAACTTTCCTGCTGGGTGAGGGTAAGGGAAATACCATACATACGGTAACCGAGACCCCAAACATACCATACATACATACATACCATACCAACAGGGCCCCCCGTACCTGCACCCGCCATGTAAAGTTACATTGTCCTGCATGAAGAATCGATCATGTGAGGGCTGCCTAGGCCTCGCGCCGTGCGGCCCCATCGCTGCTCCTCGCCGCCTGCAATCGCACCGCGCGCGGAGAGAACTAAATCTGGACACACTTGCATACATAAGTACATCCATCTTCAATCCCAACATGCCATGCGGCATCACACCCCCTCCTTCCTCCTTCCTCCTTCCTCCTTCTTTTCCCCCCCTCTCCCCTCTCTTCAATGTGACCACTCACTTTACAACGGTCGGGGATATCCCCTCCCCAAAGCCCGCGCGCCGGCTCTTTGCCCACAGCCCACAGCCCACAGCCCACTACCCACCTACCTTACCCACTGGCTAGAGTCTTCCAGCTACCGATATGACCGACATGACACGCCGCATCCAGTCCGCTGCGTACACCGCATTTTTCGCGGACACATTGCTGGTTTGAGTGATCCACCGAACATTGGCTCGAATATCGGTCGTGTTTGCCTCCTGCAGGTACTGTCTGCCCGCCCAACTGATGCATCACCGTTGAGCTGGTCGAATGCTTTCTCCCCCCGCCGGGCTACGATGGATGACCTATTAAGGTTGTGTGGCCGACTCCGTCCGTTCGTATATCTGCACCGTCGATGGCCCAATGTTGGGCCGTCCGACCGTCAATCAATGCAGTGTCGCGGATTGTGGCCAAACGCCCCCCATCAACCGACCGCGACTTTATCACCCTCTTTTACTTCTTTCGTACATGATTAGCATTATGACGACGATCACCCCAGATAGACGGAGATCAAGGTCACTTCCGTCGTTAAGTAGCCGGCGTGAAGGCTCGCTCGTCAATAGCCATGTTGCTAGACCGCCTGGATGGGGGCAGTCACAAAGTCTCAAGTCTGTGCTTGCAACTCTCCCACTAAGTCAGTTAGAGTAACCCGGTCTAGCCAGCAAAAGCAACGTAAGTCGGCCAAACCATAGGCGAGGATCCTGCCTAGCGTTGGCGCAGTCCCGAAGGAATTGCAATCTAGGAACATCGTAGCTGCTCCTTTACTATCCATCTCTCTCTGACTCTTCTTTTTTTTTTTTTTTTTTGCTTTTTTTTGGGTCTCCCTTTTCCCTTTTATTTCTTTTTCTTGCTTTGACCTGATGCCTTTTTTCTTGGCACGACACACAATGTAGAATGTAACTAGTCGCGACCTTTCGATGAGGTAGGTCTACTACCAGTAAGATCCAATTTTTAGGGAATATTGGGTGGTCAGTGCAGGGGAGCTGTCGTTTGTAACGGCTGTAAGTCAGAAGGCTGGCCTCCAACTGGTAGGGAAATCTTCCACATCATTCCGAATTTTGGGACCCTGGGCGGATATGCCGTGTCTGCATCCAAGGAACGCTTTTAGATCCGGGACTCACATTGCTTGATCCTGCTCTGTCGCGCAGCTTGCTTTAAGCCCTAAACTAAACCGCTACTGGCTGTCGCCATATTTTCCAGACTGCCACAATGCTCCAGGAAGACGCCCCCGGGTGCATTCCTATTTGTCCGTAACATCGCCCCGTATGTGATTTTGCTCCACCGCGACCCTTGTCTGGAACAAATGAGGCGGCACACGGGAAGCCTGCCGCACCCTGTCACTGACAGCACCAAGGCTGGCTGGCGTCATGGTGAGACTCCAATCAATTAGCCCGATCAAACTCATTCGCCGGTGGGTAACTGGGCTTCCTCTTCCTTCTCGTCTTTGCTTTTCCTGGACATTCATTCGATAAGTTTTCCCACGTTTGCTGTGACGAAACTGTTGGTCCAGATAGCTGATACCAGTTCACATGACAGGTGATAGTCAGCTTCATTGAGTGGAGTCGGGCCTGGATGGTGTGGGTTTCAATAATCGTATCCACCAAAAACCCGACGGTCTCAATAGTAAAAGGGCCATCGAGCCGGGTGTTTGGAATACTTTTCTGGGCCGTGAGATACACGGACATCCGATGAGACACTATGTCTATTTATTGGCACGACGAGCAGGAGGCCGAGCTTCAGCTGAAACCGACGCGGTTTGCTTAGTCCAGACCTGATTAGCACCTGTGGCACCTGGATTGGGCCACCCACCGGTGAAAGTACCGACTAACTTGACACGGAGCAATGGCCCGATGGGCAATGCCAGCTTGCCAGCTTGCCAGACTGCCAGTACGTGGATAGTAGACTAGGACCGTAACTCAGAGAAGCCACCCAGCTAGCCCCACTAGCCATGAGCTCCCTAACGCTAAGGTAGAATCAGAAAAGTGTTCGATGAGATTCGTGCGGGGGCGACTGGCGACTGGGCTTGGCAACCGAGGACAATGCCGAAAGCTGCCCATGAGACTTTCGACTATCGAATCTCTCTTTTGGGCTGAATTCCTCAGCACTCACACAACGGTTCCAGTCTCCAGCAACCGTCTGGTTTTAGCCGCCGCGCATATTCCTTAAACTGACTAGGCTGTCTCGACCCAGCAGAGTCCACGGCTGCTCCCGATCTGATCCCCATATCTGAACCACCAGTTCTGAGGGTTGCACATCAGCCTGCCGTCAAAATGTCCGGCTTCCAGTACCAAAAGTGGACGGTCTCTGAGGTATGGTATCTCACATTCATTTTTGAGTGAAGGCGACCGGCCGAAGGAGACAAGAATGGGGAAGCTAATGCTCACACTGGTTTCTGTATGCAGCCGTATGTCGATGTACCGGGAACCTTATTGGAAGGACCGTTTCACGACAAGACCAAGAATGAGTTTCGCTTCGTCGATATCTGGGAGCAGAAACTATACGTTCTGGACCTGGCCAAAGGGCCCGACTCCCTGAAGATCATGGACACATCTGTGTCAATCGGGTATGTCGCTCCTAGCTAGACTCCTTGGCCCACAGAATAATTACACCGTAAGCGGTGCCCAAAAAGAAACTAATCTCATACTCCGAACAATATGTAGAGTAACCGCCAACATTGCGAATGCTGGAGATTCACGCGAGAACCAGATCGTCGTAGCCGCAAAACATGGATTCGCCCTGGTCGACCGCACCACGGGCGCACTGTCCTATATTCAGAAAGTGTGGGACGACCCGGCCAAGGAGCATAGGTAAGTCAATTATCTAGTTTCTTTGCCATCATCCTCGTGGGTCTGACTCATCGGGAACGTCATCAAAACAGAATGCGTTTCAACGATGGGGCCGTCGACAGCCACGGACGGTTCTGGGCTGGAGCCATGAACGATTCCAAGGTGCAGAACCCAGTCAACGAAGGTGTGATATTCAGGTTAGACCCGGACATGAAACTGCACCGCATGGTTGAACAGGTGACGATTCCCAACGGGATTGGCTGGAATCCTGCGGATGACACTATGTACCTGACCGACTCTCCCACCGGCAAGATTTACGCCTTTGATTTCGATGCTGAGACCGGAAACATCAGCAACCGAAGGGTGTTCTTTGACATTGGGGAGCCAAAAGAGCCGGATGGGTTTGCCATCGATGAGGAGGGGTGTATATGGAGTGCAATTTACGGTGGTGGGAAGGTGATTCGTATCTCGCCGGAGGGCAAGATCATTGGCGAGATAACTTTTCCCACCCGAAACATTACCTGTCCAGCTTTTGTGGGAACGGAACTCTTCATCACGACCGCCAAGGATGATACCAATGATGACCAGTTTCCGGAATCCGTCCGGTATGGAGGCCGGCTCTATAGAGTCGACGTCGGCATCAAGGGTAAGCCTAAGAATGAGTTTCGACTCGAAGGCAGCCCGTTATAGGTAGTATTCGATAGACTAGCGTAATTAGTTGACTGCTAAAGATAAGCCGATCTGACCGCTTGTCGAACTATCACCTTGAAAGGATTCACCTGTAGGAGTCTCTGGGCCGGAGCCGTATGGTCTGTATACCCATCTAGAGAGATCAACATAATCGTGCAAATGAGTCTCTGAGACACATCTTCCAACCAAAGTGTAAAGCCTGCCCAGAAGGAAAGTGAAGTCCGTTAGCCACAGGATTCGCACAGAGCTGAGGTGGAGCAATCAGGTACTTCTGCTTACAGTACAGAGTATGTTGTGAAACATTTTGGCATCATAGTTACATGCTGTAATAGACATGCCGGAGACCATGATTGAACGTATATTCGCAGCAGCAGATACGTATCCTTGCAGTTGTCGTTCCTTCCGATGAAGCAGGATGAAAGACTGCCTTGGTCGTGCCGGAACCGGAGGATAAGTGAGAGGTCCGCGGATCGACGAACGGTGGATGCAGAGGTGTTGGCACTGGGACTTTTGGGGACCCCAAGTCAGCAGACCTGGAAGTGGCCTTTGAAAAGCAGTGCCTGTCGTCTCTCTTCTTTCTTTTTCCTCCTTCATTTTATTTTTATTTAACTAATTATTTTTTTTTTCTGTCTTTTCGGGTGACTCTTCCAATTATGCTCTTCTGTTTCCTGCTCCTCTCTTTATTAGAATTCAGTTACTCGAAGGTGAGTATGTAGCCTGTAGGGAGTATATATGCAAAATGATCATAAATCACAACCGAAAGGTAAATTAAGATACAACATAGAGGGGTGGGTTTGTTGTGGAAGGTGTTGCTCGTCTTACCGCCACATTGCATGGGTGAAGTTACCAGTATCGAGCAAGTAGAAGGGATATGAATAGACTTGGCAGGTAAACATGGGCCTAGAATGATCCCAGTGGCTATTACTGGAGTAAGGTATATCCCTAAGACGGGAAAGGTACATTCTAGCATCTACTTATTGTGACATGACTAGAAGTAGGTTCAGTCATGCATTCACGCATATATTTAGTAGGTACAAAGTACGCCTCAGAGATTATTGATGCCTGAGGGTGAAACGGGCATCCAGGCCGCAGCGAGCAACAAACAAGTATCAACCCATAATGCCATTATCCTCCTCCAGTCTATTCTTTCCGGGTCCTCTACAATGGCATCCAACTCACAGGATCTTTAGATCGCGTGCAGTGTTCCTGCCCTATCCGGATTCTAACTTGATGATCGCTCGACTTCTTCCAGGATGGTGGGTGACAAGTGTGAAGCATGTTGCATGCATATGCCGCACATATGCGCTACGGCAATACCATCACCTACCCTAAGGCCTGGGATCTAGCCGGAGCTAGCCTCTCCATGTGAGCATACCGATAATTCTGATATCATTGCCGCCTGGTGGGTTAATGATAGGTACTTTATTAAGCTATGCAGAGGTGCAGGCAAACGGAGAGACTCGTGGATGGACTGGAGCAACTTGGCTATGTATATATATTTTCTTTTCTTCTCTGCAGGGTGATGGTACTTTACTGACTTTCCTGACTGTACACTTACTATACATGATTTCTAAGTACGGATGTTGGTATGCATATCCTTACGTACATAAGAATACCAGCTAAGCGACGCAGGGCCAGCGGTTCGAAAGTACGGAGGGCACAAAGTGGATACCTTCCGATGCGCAGATTTGCTGCCTGTGTACTCCGTAGCTGAGATCTGGACCCGTAAGCTATGGAAGTTACAATATCAAGACGAGATTCGAACATTTCTCGAAGCAGGGAGGGAAAAGATAGATAATATCAATTAGTACAGGATGAGACACAAACTACTATGATAGCCGTTGAGAATGAGCTGATAGACGGCTACAGCGGCACAAAAAAAAAAAAAAAAAAAAAAAAAAAAAAAAAAAAAAAAA